TATACAGCTCTGAAAGCGGAGACCTCAGCATTACTGCTTCCAACTCTCTCTTCCCAGAGAGAGACAGGTGTGACAACGCCCACAATATACCTGCATGGAAGGCTTAGGGACAGCCTGCTACCTATGCTGCAATTTATTCTACCCTTAACATCCACTAGCATTATCGCCTAATGCAAAGGCGGGCCTATCGCCTAATTGCACGACTCTTATAGAAAGAGGAGGCCAGTACCAGGGAAAAAACTATACTTTACAGAGATAAGCTGTAGATGATCTAAATTTAAAGGAACACTCCGACTTTTTGGGACTTCAGCCTATTCACCTTATCCCCCAGAGTTAGATAAGTCCATACATACCTTTTTCATCTCTGTGCGTGCTATAAGTCTGTTTGACGCACCCACCGCTAGCCTAGCTTAGCACAAAGACTGGATGTAAATGGTTGCAGCTAGCATACTAATCCAAATAAGTGACAAAATAACGCAAACATTTTCCTATTTACATGTTGTGATTTGTATAGTCACAGAGTGTACAAAAAACAAAGTCACATGAGACACAGACATATTTTAACCGTATAAATACTGGGAACTATATTCTCTGAAGGCGAAGCACTGCTACTTGGGCGGAGTGATAACCGCAGCACCTGAGACGCGCTCTCTGCTCCTCACCACGGCGCGTCTAAGGTGCTGCGGTTATCACTTAGTATGCTAGCTGCAACCATTTACATCCAGTCTTTGTGCTAAGCTAGGCTAGCGGTGGGTGCGTCAAACAGACTTATAGCATGCACGGAGATGAAAAAGGTATGAATGGACTTATCTAACTCTGGGGGATAAGGTGAATAGGCTAAAGTCCCAAAAAGTCGGAGTGTTCCTTTAAAGAGCCTACGCTCAGATACTGAGGGACTCGGGATGAAAAAGCTTTTAGCAGATCGTTTCCAACAAACTTAGTGCACATGCCTAAGCCAGATATTAAGGCAGCCCTCGTAGGGATGGCACTTGAATATCCTATGTCTGAAGTTCAAAGCTATAGTCTCATAACAACTCCCAAAAGTGAGAGGATACCTGATTTACAAATACAAGGTGGCTATCCAGGTGGCCCGAAAAGGGCCAACGCTTGGTTGGTCTATCTGGAGCTTTATACAAAGCGGCAGGCACGTGCACAGGTAGGGCTCAACCTGTGCAGAGCACATGCCCTTTTTGCTCTTACACTCGAAGTGCCCTTTTTTTTGGTGGTGGTGGTGGTGGTGTTTTTTTTCTTCTTCAATAAATCAATGCTATTGCTATTGGTCACCCTTTACGTCTGTCTTTCTGTTTTAAAAATATTTAGCCAATGAAAGTTCTTAAAAAGAGCTTGTGTAAATCTTGTTCGATCCTCAAACTGTCAGTAAAACTGATAACTCCGCCCCCTCTATCGTGACTGAATGAACTGAAGCTCCGCAGCGGCCGCACAGCAGACAGCAGCTGAACGAAGTTTTGCAAGGGTAAATAAAGATCTTGTTGTTTGAATAAGTACTAAACACTTTGTCTATAAAAGCTCATATTTGATTTATTTGACGTCTGACTGAGACATGAGGTCTAGGCTAGAATTTGCCATCTAGTCATAGCCAATAGCCTACACAAATAGCCTGTGCATACAGTAGCATTTCATCTTTTATAAAATGCGATTTTGGCCAAATGTATTTTACAACAGGAAAAACTGAGCGCCTATATAGCTACAACAAACTTAACCCGTTGATAAAAATGTAACTTAAAGTCCCCGTGAACCGGAAGTTGTAAACGACTTTTCTCCAGTGTTGTGACGTATTTCCGAGAGAAACGGAATACTAAATGAGGCAAAATGGTGGGCGTGGCTTTTTCCCCAACTAGCACCTGATTGGATCTAGAAAAGTAGGTGTTTTCATTCACCTGTCTACTGTCAGTTGGAGGGGCGTGATTACGGATGTTAAGAAGACGCCCAAACCGTGAAACCTACGTCATCAGGCAAGGTCCTCCAACGCAGAGGAGAGGGGAAATTTCAGATTTTGATTAAAGATTACGAAGCCAAAAAAATTTTTTGTGTGGATTGACTTGCATGGATGAATTGTTCACCACAAAACGATCAATTTAGGCAAACAAAGTAAGTATGGTCAATTTTGAATTCATGGGGACTTTAATGTGATGCCGCCGGCGCCGTTTTAATGACGGACACAATACACATTTGCACACATTCGCTGGTCAAGAACCCCGTAACTGTATTTGAGTTTGACTTTTGTAAAATGTTAACAATATATTTATAAGTATTACAACAACATATAATTTGTTTTTACCATCGGAAAATCATAAGCACAGGCGCGCCCCCGCGCTGTTTCATACTGAAACTACACAAAGCGACTGAGTGATCCTCGTCGTCACCTAGGTGACATATATTTCTAAGAAATGTTCTTCTTTGAATTATGATTGCTGATACACTTAATTTATTAACATTTCATCTTGTTATGGTAATAATATTAAATTATGGTTAATTCAAGGTTGTTGATATGCACGTATTTAATCTATAGTATTCTATACTCTCTGCTCGTCCTCACATGTATAAATGTAGTAAAACATGGTTTTACTACAGTAATGTTGTAGTAGTAACTAAAAAAAAAAAACATTACAGAAGATCACTGTGAAAACTTTATATTTTATCATGCAGAATGTAATTCATGATTTAATTCATTCCAATGCTTAATTTATTTGATCCAAAATACAGCAAAAACAGTAATATTGTGAAATATTTTTACAATCTAAAATAACTGTTTTCTATTTAAATATTTTAAAAAGTATTTTATATCTGTGATCAAAGCTGAATTTTCAGCATCATTACTCAAGTTCAGGACTCTTCAGTGTCACGTGGTCCTTCGGAAATCCTTTTCACTGCAACTGTACTTTTCACACTATTTTATTTATTTATTTTCATTGCTGGCTTATTTTAGGGAAAGTGTAATGAACAAGGGACCTTCAAGAGACCAACATTCCTGGTCCTCCACAGTATCAAGTTTTTGCCAGGTAGGCGGATACATGTTGGATATGCTATAGTTGAATGGCTACCATTGTATGGCTGTAGTTTCTTATAATCTGGAATTGAGTTGGACATAATTATTTAAATTATATTTCAAAATAGTTTCTCAAAAATACTTGACTCATGTTTATGTGTGACATTGAGAAGAGGGGAAGGTAAAGCAATGTTAACCAAATAATACAAATTAGCTTATGAAACCAAACAGAATAGCTAAAAAATATATATTTTATTGAACTTTGTGTGTGCAAAGCAGAGAAAAAAAATATATGTATATTTTTTTTTTTATAACTATAACATTTATAAAAAAAATTATAACTGATATAACTATTTTTTGTACTTATATGAATTTTGATTACTTGGTGGGGGAAAAAAAGGGAGGGGGTGCCCTTTTTCAGTTTTAGCACATGCCCCTCAAAAGGTCTGTGCACGGCCCTGCAAAGCGGTGGCCTCAGGAGAAAACCCCAAAATAGGAGGAAGCCATCTCATGCTGAACAAACCCCGTTTGAAGCTCTCGTGCACGGTGGGGCCTCACTAGAGATTTCTCTATGAGATGACCCCAGCCTGTACATTTCACTGGGTGACCAAGATTGGCACCACCTACTACTACTACTACCTGACGACTCTATCACAAGAGGAGGCCTATGATAAGCTATGCAAGCCTACCTATAAAAATGGGAACTTCAGGGCCCTAATTTTAATACCTATCGAACATACCCCTTAATACTTTCTAAACAACCTTATAATAAAGCCCTACCAAGATCATCCTGCAGCTAGTAGAGAGAATCTGAGAGCTTTCTGTCCCTCCATTGACAGCTACGCAACTACCACTTTGACTCTTCAAAAAGCTTGTAAAGAGATCGTAAAACTATTCCATATGAATTGAGCGTTTACTCCAAATTTTCTGAAGAGATTCGATCATTTTATATGATGAACAGATTTAATTTAGTCTTTTATTCACATATAAACATTCATCAATCCACACATCAGTTGTGGTAAACGGAAGCTCAATCATGTTCCACAAGAACCAATGAGGTTCATTCTCATGTTACGCAGCACGTTTGAGCTTCCGAAAGAACCAATGCGGTTTCATTTTGTGTAACTGTAATAATTTTGTGTTGGGGCAACAGGATTTATTTTGTTCACATATCTAACTGGACAGAGGACCTGTAGTTCTGTAGTTCTGAGACTGTATTAGGAGAGTAATTTTTTGTGTGTTTTACAGTAAATAGAAAGACTTACTGTAGTGCTTAATGTTCAGCTATGTTCAAGAGTTAGTAAAGTTTCAGTTGTTGGAGAATTTTGTGTGGTTACCATTATACAGAAGAGTGCTTGTGCACAAGCTGTGGGTTACATGACAACTGAGATGTTTGTTGCTTCACTGGATGAACAGAAACTCTGCTAATTGTCAGTACTGAGACAAGTCTTTTCTAACTGGCCCATTCCATACATTGCCCAATAAACACAACTGTCTTTAGCATACTAACATGCGTTATCTCTAGTTAGTATGACTATGACACAATGTTGGTGTTGTTGTGATTTACAATAATGCATGTTTCTTCCCTGCCGTTTATGAACCCTTTCCCGTAGCCTCATCGGATATGTGTGAAAATACTTTTAAATGTAGAAGTAAATGTGGAAATTGTTATGTGTACATCAGGATTTTAAAGAATTTTTGACAGCTTAGTTTTTGATTTATATTTTTCATATAAGCCCATCTTTTTTCTTTGTTTTATGAACTCCATATGACTGTAAATCTCCCAGCTGTATGTTCTTCTCCCTTGATGCTGCCAGTCTTGGAAAGAGTCAACATGTCAACAAGTGTATAAAAAGGCAACATAGATTGTAACACATCTTTATTGTGGAGCCTCCAGGAGTGACTTGAGTTTCGGTAACGAGCAGTTCAGAGCTGCTGGAGAGACAAATAGCATCTTCAGAGATCTTTATCTGTGGTTATGTACTGAACCTTATATAAAGGAAGTAACAGTGAACAATACTCTGTTTACTTGTTTATTCCAAGTACTTCAGAATGAATATTACAGCTGTGAACCAAACTGATGACTGTCAGGAATATTCCTGTCCAGAGAGATCTGTTTCTTTCTCTGTCTATGTGATTCTGTATGTGGCCGCAGCAGCTGTGGCTCTTCTGACTGTGTGTGGAAACCTGCTGGTCATCATCTCTGTTAGTCACTTCAAGCAGCTCCACACTCCTGCTAACATCCTCATCCTCTCTTTAGCTGCGTCTGATCTGCTGGTCGGAGTTTTTGTAATGCCGCTTCACCTGTCTTGGGTCATCGAGTCATGTTGGATTTCTGGACAAGAGATGTGCTCTGCTTTAAAAATTGTGAATTTTCAAGCAACAAGCGTGTCTGTTCACACTGTGGCTCTAATAGCAGTTGATCGGTTTCTGGCTTTACATTCTCCTTTTTTTTACCAGAAAATCTCACCCACTGTGATCTGCATAGCAACTTTATTTAACTGGCTGTTTTCACTCCTTTATAACTTCACTCTTCTCTTCATTAATGGAAACTTCACTGTCGTGTGTCCAGGAGTGTGTCTTGCTATTATTGATGGAGTTTCATCCTTCATTGATCTCCTGGTTGTGTTTCTTATGCCATGTACACTCATCATAATATTATACACTCATGTTTTTGTCATTGTTAGGAAACATGTGACTGCTATAAGAGCCCTTCAGGTTCACAACAGCAAAGAATCCTCTAAAAACAGAGTCAGTGACAAATCAGAGCGAAAAGCTGCGATACTGCTGGGGATTCTGGTCTTTGTGTTTCTCCTGTGTTTACTGCCATATTATATTTGTTCTGTAGTGATTCCATACAGTAATGATGACTTGTTTAATGTCAGAGATGTTACTGTAATGGTTTTCTTCCTGAACTCCACCATTAATCCCATCATTTATGCATTATTCTATCCATGGTTTCAGAAAAGCTTAAAAGTAATTTTCACATTTAAAGTGTTTAATAAAGACTCCTCTCTTATGAATGTGCTGTAGGTTGCTGAATGTAAGACAGAATTTCATTATTACATTATTTTGTCATCTATTAAACATTACTGCGAAGACAATATTGTTTTCAATCATGTATTTTACACCTCACTGATTTTTCTTTTTGTTTGTGATAAACAGAAATGTTGAAGCCCAAAACAATTATGAAACAATGTGTACAAAATTAACAAAAAAATAGCTTTGACCAACAAATATAGCAAATGATCAATTGTAGGGTGACCATATTTTGGTTACCAAAAACCAGGACACTCGGCCCGGCAAACAGATACTCAAATGATACTCGAAGTTTACTCAAAGATACCTTATTAATTTCAATACATTTAAAGTAGGTTATGCCTGCTCTGTATAAATAGAAAATTGTTATTACAAGACACAAATTCAGATAGGCTTCTCAGAGCTTACTTGACATGTTTTATTATGACAGGTTTCAAAAATAATGAATGAAATAATGATAGAAATAATGTCTCTTCTGTATTAGAAAAATAAATATATAAATAATAAATAACTAAAAGAAATACCTCCAAATTGAACAAAAATAGCTCTCACAAACTTACAAAAATGAACTAACAAAATATATTTATATCTTTAGTTTTCTTCCTCTTTATCCTGTTTTTCTTCCTCATCCTCCTTGTTTGCCCATCTATATTTTGCTGTAGAGCTGATCTTTCCCAGCAGTTTTTTGAAAACCAGGACATTTTCATCACTTTATAAAAAACAGCCAGGACGGCCAGGACAGGATGTGAAAACAGGACATGTCAAAACAGGACTGTTGGTCACCCTATCAATTGTTTTAAATGTATAATTTATAAAGAAAATAGGCCTAGACAAACTTCACCAGTAGCCTAACTCCAGCCTAGCAGAGGGCGCCTTCTCCGCTTTATCCGCCACAAACCCTAAATGGAGGCATTAGAGGAACTGATTGAAATGTTTTCTATGCGATTAATGTTTTTTCTGTGCGACTAACCCAGTTTTCCTCCAGGAGGCGCTCGACGGATCATAAAGTAGAATGATCGCTCGGAGTCGCATTCAAAGGTCAAAAGTTTTTTTTACCTTACTGGGGCAAATTATCATGGTAATCTTAAATATATTAATTTAAAGGATTGGTAACTGGAATAAAAAGCGAAATACACACCAGGCATTTCTGTACAATAATTAAATACGGTAAATGACTCTGCTCTAACAACCGACATGTTCAGCCTGACTGCGCTGAGAAACGTAACAGAGACCACGTGACGTTCTGGATGCTGTTTAACTTGTTAAAGAAATGGCACATTTAGCTGTACCAACAAGTACTTTTTTATATACCCATTGTGTTGTGCCCTTAGATTTGGCTTAATCTGTGTATTCGTGTTTAATACAATTGCTTAATAATGCTTCATCTCCCTATCGGAAAGAATTAAAGAAAAGTAAGTCTTTACGAAAGTAACGAGTTCCCCTCTGAACAACACTTACAACTTCAAGCTGGTGCTCATGTGCCAGTTATCAACATTAGTTGCAAGATGACTTGAACAAACCAAAGCCGCTGTGTTGGTTTAAAACTATTAATTTCTTTAATTATTTTTGTTTTAAAATGCGTTCTTTTTTATTTGGTCTTATATTTACAACTAGAAAGAAAGAAAGAAAGAAAGAAAGAAAGAAAGAAAGAAAGAAAGAAAGAAAGAAAGAAAGAAAGAAAGAAAGAAAGAAAGAAAGAAAGAAAGAAAGAAAGAAAGAAAGAAAGAAAGAAAGAAAGAAAGAAAGAATTTAGGGTAAGTTGTTCTACTTGTCACATGACCGAGATAACAGCATTGCAGCTAAGCTCCGCCCCTTTTTGGCTTTCATCGTTTGTAATTTCTCATCTAGTCAGTTATTGTTCTATGTCAAAAGCTTCATCACTGTGGCGAAACTTTCAACGAATGTTAGAAGAGTTTCTGGTGCGAGAGCTGCGGATGAACATACATCGAAGTATTATGGGAAGTTTATCCACTAGTATTTAAACTCAGGTGATATTATATCATTAGTATGTCATGTCAAGTAAGTATTAAATCAGAACAGAGTTTGACATGACTTATAGTAACTTACCGCACTGAGTTCCAGTAAGTTAGATTGACTGGCGTAACTCTCTTCAACATGACATTTGTGATTCCACTTGAATGAATGAATATTAAGTTAACTCGAAAAAGTTCTAAACGCGGTTGAATCGAGTGAAAATGGGAGATGAATCAAAGTCAGTGGAAGGAGAGGTAAATGATAATATATATTTTTCAAAAACAGCCGTGACTGATGCTGAGGTGAGTTTTGATCATCACAACCCACCGCCGGAAACGCGTTTATATAAAAAGAGATGGATAATGGTGTGTTTATTCAGCTCATATTCGCTGTGTAACTCGTATCAATGGATTCAATACGGAATCATCAACAATATCTTCATGCGCTTCTACGGCGTGGACTCTTTCACCATTGACTGGATGTCCATGATTTACATGTTGACGTACATTCCTCTCATTTTCCCCGTCTCGTGGCTCCTGGATAAAAAAGGTCTGAGGGTCATCGCGCTCGTGGCCACGGCTCTGAATTGCGCGGGCACGTGGATCAAGGTGGCCAGCGCGAGACCGGACCTTTTTCCCGTGACAATTTTGGGTCAGTTCATGTGCTCCGTGGCTCAGGTGTTTATTCTCGGGATGCCCTCGCGCATCGCATCGGTGTGGTTCGGGTTGGATGAGGTGTCCACTGCATGCTCCATCGGGGTCTTCGGAAATCAGGTGGGTTTCAAAAAAATAATGTCATCATTGCTCATTTATCTGTGCTGTACTGTGAAAATTAAAGCGGAATTTCTGCGCCACTAGCGGCATTAAACGTATCTACAAAAATAATGACTGTTTCCACACAGGTAGGCCTATCCCTAAACACGCCTCATTTGCTATTGGTCAGCAAACAGAGAGTCCTTCCCACAATCTTTCGTCATTGGTTGAGCCAATGTTTGGCCAAGTTGAGATTTCTCATTTGAGTCTAAGTTGAGTCTTTATTTTTCATCAGCTAGGGATTTTCAAACTTTTTAATGCCATTGACCTTCAGATGATCCTCTTGCGACTGACCCCCTTCCTAAAATGTAAAAGACAACTATATATTTTCAGGCGGAAAGTCCAGGGCTGCGTTCAGCCCCGACAAAACGTTGCACAACGTTTTTTAAACAGAAACGGTGATGCGTTGAACACACTGTTCTGATGACGCAAGAGTTGCATCTATGGCAGCTGAGAAAGGCCATTCTTTGTGTTCTTTGTGAAGAATTTTCGGAGCCTGATGAAGTCGGTATAAATATGTGTTTAATACTACAAAACATGCCCGATGTTACAGTTACTGCACTTGCCGCCCAGAACACAATAGAACATCCCAATCGAGGGAAGGGATTTGTGGAAACTGAAATGGAAGCAGAAGCACACATGTTACCTAATTCAGACTAAAACACATCTATTCAGCAACACATACTGACTTTATTTGTAGTTCATACTGTTTTAATACCCTGTATTTTCTTTCTCATTTTTAGGAAAAGCACTTAATTACCATTGTTTATTTCTATACCAAATGTCATACACTTGCAATGAAGCTAAAAATATAAACAACTACATCATTATGTTGATATCTTAGATTTTTTACAATAAAACTTACGACAAACATGTCTTCTAATATCCTCAGTTGTTGCGTATACCGAGCTGCATCGAACACACTAAATTACTTTCCTTGAACCCATTGTGCAGTTCACTTTAATACCGCTTGCTTTATATACATGTTGCTGCTGATTGGACTGCAGTTCTGACACACCCACCAAACAAGAGAAAACGTATCTCAAACCCTGTTGCACACCGGTGCACGCCGTTCCCTTATCGAGTCGGTCTCTCGACATTACGTATGGGGAAATCCATTTTCCTCGAATCATGAAGTCTGATAGAATAACTCTTTTGCTTGCAAATAGCCAATGGCGGTCCCGCCATCACCTGATTGGCTGACACTGCTCAATATAGGTGACGGCGGGCGCCAAAAACCTCAGAATCTTTTTTCTTCACTCGAGTCTGTTTTCACCGTTGATGTACGCATTCAGAGCGGAGTATATTAAGGAGTTTTAATTCCCCTCTCGCGTTCCAGTGGATTATATTATGTCTCTTTGTCGCCCGTGTGGTGGACCCATTGAATCCCCGGACGCACACAACTTGTGTGCTGTGCCTGGGTCTGGACCACGCAGAGGCGGCACTCGAGGGATCGGGATGTCCCGCCTGTGAGGAGCTTCCCATCAGATCCTTCGTGCAAGGCTGGCCGTTACACGTAACGACGACCTTGTGTCTCCTGCCTCTCCCCAGTCTTCCGCCTTCAAGCCGCGGACCGGGAGACGGCAGAGATCTCCATTCGCGGGTTCTGTTGAGGCGCTGACGTCGGCCCAAGGTCCACGCCATCCTCACGTGGCAGAGCCCGTGAGTTACTCTTGAGGCCATTTACCGCCCTCTTGAGGAAGCACGGGAATTATCTCGTTCGGTTACGACGATGACGACGCCAATGGTCCGAGTCTCCGTCTGAAGGCGCCCTCGCCTCTTTGGATGCGGAGCTTATGGCCATTCTCACTGAGGCGGTGGCAGATATGGTGCTGGAGTGGACAGCGCCCAAGGAGCTGCCGTCGGAAAGGTGGCCTCGGCGCGGGCCGTAAAGCTGAAGCGAGAGGCAGTTCAGGAAGTCGCTAAAAAAAAAAAAAAAAAAAAAAAAACAGCGCTCCTGATGTGCGTGTCAGGGAGGAAAGAGCGCGGGACGTGTTCGTCGGACCGGTGCGAAGAGGGCGTGTTCCCGCCCAGAGTTCGACGAGAATGTGTTGTTTCTGAAACCGCTGTGTTCTGTTTCAATAACAAGGTACATTACATGTCTCAGCAAAGAGCTTCTCTCCCCAACATTATTACCCGCCTCATAGACGGGAGACGCATCGCAGAGCGGAAGCTCGGGGAAACCCGAGGAGATGGCTATCTATGTCCCCGTGCATGATGCCGCGGACGAGCTATACCATTTCATATAGCAGTCAATGCTTTCCCGGTGGCTGGCGCCCAGCCCCCGCCGCAGCATTCATTGCCCTGTATGGCGATTCTGACTACTACACAGTGTGTATTCACAGTTGTTGCGCGATGCAACTGACGCTGTGTTACGTACACACCACACTGTTATGTGTAAGGATTTATGCCATTATATATTGCCCTGTGACCTTCAGTGCAATGGCTATGCTGATTACTACAAGTACGTGTTCACAGTTGTTGCGCGATGCAACTGACGCTGTGTTACGTACACACCACACTGTTATGTGTAAGGATTTATGCCATTATATATTGCCCTGTGTCCTTCAGTGCAATGGCTATTCTGATTACTGCAAGTACGTGTTCACAGTTGTTGTGCGATGCAACTGACGCTGTGTTACGTACTCACTACACACTGTTATGTGTAAGGATTTATGCCATTATATATTGCCCTGTGTCCTTCAGTGCAATGGCTATTCTGATTACTGCAAGTACGTGTTCACAGTTGTTGTGCGATGCAACTGACGCTGTGTTACGTACTCACTACACACTGTTATGTGTAAGGATTTATGCCATTATATATTGCCCTGTGTCCTTCAGTGCAATGGCTATTCTGATTACTACACCGTAAGTATTCACAGTTGTTGCGCGATGTAACTGACGCTGTGTTACGTACTCACTACACACTGTTGTGTGTAATGATTTATGCCATATATTGCCCTGTGTCCTTCAGTGCAATGGCTATTCTGGTTACTACGCAGTACGTATTCACAGTTGTTGTGCGATGCAACTGACGCTGTGTTACGTACTCACTACACACTGTTGTGTGTAATGATTTATGCCATATATTGCCCTGTGTCCTTCAGTGGAATGGCTATTCTGGTTACTACGCAGTACGTATTCACAGTTGTTGCGCGATGCAACTGACACTGTGTTTATGTACACACTGCACACTATATGAATTTGCCGTTGTATATTGCCCTGTATCCTTCAGTGCAATGGCTATTCTAGTTACTACGCAGTACGTATTCACAGTTGTTGCGCGATGCAACTGACACTGTGTTTATGTACACACTGCACACTATATGAATTTGCCGTTGTATATTGCCCTGTATCCTTCAGTGGAATGGCTATTCTGATTACTACGCAGTACGTATTCACAGTTGTCGTGCGATGCAACTGACGCTGTACACACTGCACACTGATATGTGTAATGATTTATGCCTTATATATTGCCCTGTGTAATTCAGTGCAAATGGCTATTCTGATTACTACGTATTCACAGTTCGTGCGCGATGCATCTGACGCTGTGTTACGTACACACCGCACTCTGTTATGTGTAATGTTTTATGCCATTATATATTGCCCTGTGTCATTCAGTGCAAATGGCTATCCTGATTACTACGCAGTGCGTATTCATAGTTGTCGTGCGATGCAACTAACGCTGTGTTTGTGCACACTACACACTGATATGTGTTATGATTTATGCCTTATATATTGCCCTGTGTCATTCAGTGCAAATGGCTATTCTGATTACTACGTATTCATAGTTGTCGTGCGATGCAACTGACCTTGTGTTTGTGCACACCGCACTCTGTTATGTGTAATGATTTATGCCATTATATATTGCCCTGTGTCATTCAGTGCAAATGGCTATCCTGATTACTACGCAGTGCGTATTCATAGTTGTCGTGCGATGCAACTAACGCTGTGTTTGTGCACACTACACACTGATATGTGTTATGATCTATGCCGTCATATTTTGCCCTATCCTTCAGTGCAAATGGCTATTCTGATCACTACGTATTCACAATTGTTGTACGATGCAACTGACGCTGTGTACACACAATGCACTGATATGTGTAACTATTACGCCGCTATATATTGCCCTGTACCCTTCAGTGCAACTGGCTACTCTTTTACTGTGTAGTCACAGTTGTTGCGCGATGCCACAGACGCTGTGTTATGTACATTGATATGTGTCTATGATTTATGCCGTTATATGTTGCCCTGTATCCTCAGTGCAGCCGGCTATTCCGATTAACTACGTATTTACAGTCGATGTCGCTATGCCTCTGACGCTGTGTTTTTTGTACACAAAATGTAACTATGCTTGTGCATAGTCTCAGTCGTCGCTACGGCGACTTGCATTGCATCTGTGTAGATATTGAAGCGTTATGCTGCCCTTCAATGTAATGGACCATTGTGTACGCATATTCATGCAGTTTCGGTCGCTTCAGCAACTTGAGCTGCATTATACACACAGATGTTTAAAATGTGCACACTGATGTGTTATGCTGTTATGTTGCCCTCTATCATTCAGTGCAACAACCAGCTATCCTATCTAACTGCATATTCAGTTTGTCGCTACAGCGACTACACTGCACTTATGTACGTATAAGGACGCGTGTTGCTATTTTGTTGCTCTGTTTCTTTCAGTGCAAAACTAGCTATCTTAATCTACTGTGCATACTCACAGTTTCTGAATGTATGTACGTACACGGATGTGCAATTTACCATGTGTTATGCTGTAATGCTGCCCCGTTTCCGTGCAGCTAGCCACCCTGATCGAACTGTACATCTCAGTTTCTGTCTCTACGCAGTTCTGTCGCTACGGCGACTTATGCTGCGTTATGTACATGCATGGATGCGCTACAGCGACCGATGCTGTTACGTACATGTGCTATGCTGTTATGTTGCCCCGTTTCCTTCAGTACAACTGGCTATTCTGTGCTAACTCGTCTACTCACAGTTGTAGCTACGGCTATGTGTTTGTTGTTTACTGAGGTGCTATGCTATTATGGGGCTATTATCTACTGCGTATATTCATCAGAGCCCAGGTGGTTGCAATTCCAGCATTTTGCCCGGATGAGGTCAGTGTTTCAGAGTCTCAGAAGTACGCTTGTGCCCCATGCGTGCCCTGCGTGCTTATGTGAACAGAACTAGCCAGTTTCGAACTTCAGAGCAGCTCTTCGTCTGCTACGCGGGTGCTAAGAGGCGGCGCGCTGTCGAAACGGAGGCTATCTCACTGGATAGTGGAGGCTGTGCACTGGCTGGCTTATGCTTCACGGGAAGCCGTTTCCCTATAGGGGTGCACGCCCACTCCACTAGGAGTTTGGCGTCATCATGGGCGTGGGCGAAAGGCATGTCTTTCAAGACATTTGTTTCGCGGCAGGTTGGTCGTCTCGTAATACCTTCGCGAGATTCTATAACTTGAATATCCCTTCATTCGCACCACATGTCTGTCAGTGCAGGGAGAGAAAGCTGAGCTGTCGTTGGACTAGGCTAGACTGCCCCGATGGCGCGCGCTCTAGCCACGGTTCGACTAGTCGTCAGACAGTGCGAGTTATTATTAGCATAGCTATCATGTTCACTATATTGTGCCCTTTGTTATGTCCGCATTCATAGCCGGCAGTATTTTCCTAAGCACCAATCACTTGCTGCAATCTCCCTCCATTCAGTTCAGCGTGCTTAGCTTGATGGGAGGGGCCTTCGTTGGTGCAGATGCCGAGTTGGCTCTGTGCCAATAGATGTTTCAACCAGGTCCGGTGTCTGTTCCTGAGAGCTGGGCGGGGTTTCTCCCACGCGGCGGGGGTTTTATTGTTCCCCATACGTAATGTCGAGAGACCGACTCGATAAGGGAACGTCTCTGGTTACTCACGTAACCGTAGTTCCCTGAGAGGAGGGAACGAGACATTACGTAACCTGCCGTGTGGGAGGGACTCTCAGTCTCCTTACTCTCGTTCAGCTAAGATTCTGAGGTTTTTGGCGCCCGCCGTCACCTATATTGAGCAGTGTCAGCCAATCAGGTGATGGCGGGACCGCCATTGGCTATTTGCAAGCAAAAGAGTTATTCTATCAGACTTCATGATTCGAGGAAAATGGATTTCCCCATACGTAATGTCTCGTTCCCTCCTCTCAGGGAACTACGGTTACGTGAGTAACCAGAGACGTTTCCAGGAAACATGACGTTTAACCCGGAAACCGTAGCAAAACGTTGCGCACCGTTTTGAACTTGAACATGCCCCAGGTTTAGAAAGTAAAAGTCCTCCTCAGTATTTTGTTCCAAGCACCTGGATTTGCTAATAGACCAACGCTACTTTTGCGTCATCGAAGGGTAACGCCCCCTTTTGGGGGAAAACAAACGGATTCCCCTGAGAACAGAACTCGCTCCAGATCTGCTAAGTTTCTTGATAACAAAAATGGCACAAACTTAAATAAGCTACTGGATACGGGGTTACAGAGGTGTCCCTTTGAAATGGTCGAAAACTGGATTAATGACCCCACGCAGTGGCCAAATATGGACTATTCAGACATCTAACGTTACCACTATCTCGTGGAATCACCAAGTAACGTTAAGTAACGTTAGCCTATTTTTTTTTTTGTCATTAACACTCACAGTATAACAAACTAGACGATGAGGCCATGTCACTTGGATCATATTTAACTTGATTTGAGCTATTGACATAGTTTTGTTGTCGACTAGCTATACTAGTTAGAAAGACGAAGCTGCTAGCAGCTAACGTTATGTGATTAGCTATCACTAGGCACGCTATCTTAGCTGTTAACTGATTTTACTGACCGGAGTAAAGATAGTTTGCGGTTTGATTTTCAGTTTTCATTTCGATTTTCAGTTTTCGTTTCGCTGTGGTCCCGCAGTGCGGTGTCGTGGACATGCAAATAATATCTCACGTCGTTATTCATGATTTGTGTAACAGTGTTTCTCCGGGTCAAAATCTTTCTTTTTTTCTTTTTTTTTTAATTGGGTATAGCTCCAAAAGTCGGTCACTTAGGAGTCTGAACCCAGTGTCACCTTGACATGCTCGATTTGTGAATTTTTTCACAGCAAAGCTCTTGTCTGTAAAACGTTGGCTAAGTCCGTTAGACAGGAATGTTGAAAATAGGCGTTTTTCATGTTTAAACAATGGATATTAACAATTTATAATAAACACACAGTGCTGGATTACAAAAACACTTGTTTTAGATTGAACCTGATTTGTGAAAACTTTCACAGGTCAGTTTGGGCCAGTTAACCCTTCCCTGAGTGGTTAACTTGGTCATTCTGATTTGTGAAAACTTTGGTCATGGTCAACTTTGTTTGACCAAGGGTTAACTTTGATAGAAATCAGAATAAAACTCAGAACATGAGAACTTCACATCATGCGTATGCACCTAAATTTGTTCTTAAACTTGTTCTAAGACAAATTAATTGGGAGCGTTTTAAATGAGCAGCCACATGCCCACATTTGCCTAAAACCCCCAGGGCTATCCTCACAACCTTTGTTTTACAGCAGTCTTTCATCACTGTCAGCAAACATATGATGCTCTCTAAAAGATACACTGAAACACAAACCTTGAAGCTTGAGCTATAATGAAGCTTATCTTACTCTTTCACTGTATATGATGAAATATATTTAAGGCCGCCTAGAGTATGTGATTTTTGCATACCTGTGGTTTCAGTTTTTTCTACATGTTTTGTAAATTAAGGATATATTTTAGTACGAAAGTTATTGGTGAATCCTTGAGAATGTGCATACGCACACTTAATGAATGAGACCAATGCTCTAATTAAGTACATTTAGGGCCAGATTTACTAAACAGGTACCCTGGTTAAAACCAGACCATTCTGAGTTGTAACTGAGTTATGGTCTGGCAAAGCGTCATAGACAAATCATTTCCAGAGGGACGTCACCAACGGACGTCGCGGATAGACCTAAACCCAATCAGAGCGATGAAGGAGATGACGTATGCAGAGGGGCGGAGAAACATCTCCGAGTATTGTTCTTTGCTCGGTTTTTAACAAAAAGGAAACGTTCAAATCGCTTAAAACAGACGCGATAGCTGATTCGAACGAGTGATGTTCGACGGCGGCATCCATCTTTGTAATGTAGGCTACAAAATCTGCTTCAAAATCCCAGCGCTGTCGTCATCGTGTAAAGCCCGCCCCAACGTTTCTGATTGGTGCCTCGATTTCGGCGGATTGGAAATGGGCTTGAATGAGCTCTTTGCCAGACTAACTTTCAGAGCAAATCTAAATTTGCCGGAAGTTGTCTGGGTTTTCCCAGGCTATTAAACAGGGCAAATTAGCGTGAGAACGAATAAAAAAAAAAACGCCAATGGGAGTGGAAAGTTATGCGCGTGATCATTTACATAATGACCAACGCAATCAACCAAGAGCAGCTCAAATTAGCGTCTGGTTTAAGACATGTTTTTTGGAGGGGGGTGAGATAAAATGAAATAATGGTGCAAATACTAGTAAATTGACTATAGTCAAACCTTAGTAATTCATCTTGCATGATTCATTTAAATACTCTCCTCCCATAAGTTTTGTGTCTGAATGGGAAACTCCTACAAATGCATATGGCAATAAGGTAAGCCGCAAAAATAACCCTTTCGGCGTTCATTTTTCACTGAGTGTCTTTAGCAAATCCTGACAGTAGTTTTTTAACGCCAAAAGAGGGTTAGTAAGTTGTTAAACTTCCCCCTAAACTTCACAATATATATATATATATCTTTACATTGTTCATGCTATTTTAACTTTTCCATGGGTCTCTGAAACCCATTTGAAAACCTCTGTTTAAAGCCAAGAAAATGGAGAATTAGCGCAGGTCTAAACAGTTATGTTGATAAATGCCAGTGATGTTTAATGTGCAACCATATAATTGCATGACAGAGTCTTTAGTGTCCCATGTGGATCAAGGCCTTGCTAGCGAGTGCAATTTTAAAAGCACACCTATGTTTGAAATCAAGCAGTTGTACTTGTGTTCAGTATACGTCCTGTACTGGTTCATTTTGAACCTCACAGATGTTTGTTTTTTTCAGTTGGGGATTGCAATCGGCTTCCTTGTTCCACCAATACTGGTTCCAAATGTGGACGATCTGGACACGTTAGCGTCTCACATCAGAGTCATGTTCTACATAACGGCGGGTGTGGCCACTTTCCTGTTTGTGTTGGTTGTCTTTGGTAAGTGCAAGCCGTTAGTTATAATATTGCCACAATATTGTTCTATTCCAAAACATAGTGAGCTGTTTACTTTAAAACATGTTCCTGACATGAAGGTTGTTCCAAAAGATATAGAAATTAAAGGGATAGTTCATCCAAAAAAAGTCAATTCTGTCATCAGTTTCTCACTCTCATGTCGTTCCAAACCCATAAGCCTTTTTGTTCATCTTCTTAACTTTTTAATGAATCTGAGAGATTTCTGTCCCTCTATTGAAAGTCTATTCACCCAAAACTCTGACAGTTCAAAATTAAAGTCTGTTCATCATATAAGTGTCTTCGTGGATTAATTTTACGATCTCTTCATGAACATTTTGAAGCTTCAGAGTTTTCGGGTGAATAGACTTTCAAAGTAGGGACAGGAATCCATCAATTCAATTAAAAATATCTTAATTTGTGTTCTAAAGATGAACAACATTTTTATGGGTTTGGAACGACATGAGGGTGAGTAAATGAAGTCTACGGACAGAATTTAAATTTTTGGGTGAACTATCCCTTTAATTATGATGCCTTATATCTTCTTTTAGCCAAAATAATACACGTGTCCTTCACAGAAAAGACAATCCCACAATGCATTGTGATGAATTCAGTGAAACATAAATCGAAGATAGCAAATAATGCAAGAAAAATGTTGATTATAAATAAATCAAATTAAAATGGATTATTGTTTGATTATTGTGCAACTATCTTAGAAAAATGCTTAAATCAAACTTGATTAAAAAAAAATAATCATGAGTGTTTGTGTGGCACGTGGAGTTGCTGCCTATATAGAGAGTTTCCGTGAAGATTAGGGTGCTGTCCTAGTCTAGAAGGCAGAAGCCCGTAGGCATTAGGCAGCGAGATCGCTCACTAGGTTGGTGTGTTTATATTTGACTCTTGTTTAGTGCGTCTGTTCCTCTTTTTCTTTAGTGTGTGTCTGTTTCTGTTTCTCTTCTGTTGAGTCTTGCTGTGTTCTTCCTGCATGTACAAAAACACACATTTGTTAATTGTTTATATTAGGGATGCGCAGCACCAATACAATCTTTTCAGAACCGATCCGATCCGATACCAAAAATTCTGAGTATCTGCGGATACCGGCGCAGTTTTTTTTTTTTTTTTTTTATCAAGTAGAATTTCTATAACTCTCTGTTGAACTGATAATCACTCTTTTGTGTGTTAAACACAATCTACTTAATACAGACAACTTCATTATAAAGAAAAACAACAAATCAAAAAAATATATGATCATAATCTATGACAAAAATGCTATTATAAACTAGATTAGTGGATAATTCAGCAGTAAAATTTAGTCTAGGAAAAAAAAAACATTTAGTGGGGAACAAATAAGAGACAATGGCCCTCATTTATCATTCTTGCGTAGAAACGGGCGTATATGTTGGCGTAAGATTATGCTTACACTCCTCTCACCGCCTGATTTATGAAGCTGTGCGTACCTTTGAAATCCAGGTGTACGAAATACCTGCCCTTGATAAATCCCGCGGCTGAAAACGATCGTCATTAGAATAACACGCCCCTATATATTCAAGTCTCCGCTTCCCCCACGCCCTCATTTTACGCCATGGACACACGGAAGACGGCAAGGAAGAGAAACTTCTCCGACGTGGAGCCGAAATGACCTATCACAATGCATTTTTTTACGGCACGTGTTTTGAAACAATTAGCATTCAGTTTCGAATCACGTCACATGTATTGGGGTGCACAATAGTGATGATGATGATGTGATGTGGAGTACCATTCATTCACATTAATAATTGCATGACAATTTGTAATATTCTTCTTATTATTATGATTTTTATTATTAATGACGCTTATTGTTATTTAGAAGAAGAACGTCGTTATTATTATTTGTATTATTATTATTATTTAAAAGAAGAAGAATGTATTTTTTATTATTTTGTCAGTCTGAATTATTTTTTGGTCATTGAAAGCCTTTCATTACCGAACCCAGTCCGTGCGCACCTGCCGGGCCTAACCCTGAAACGTCAGGGTAGCGCACAGGCTCGCAACTGAAGGAATACATATGCCTACAAATCAAATGCTTTGGTAAAGTCACACAAATTAAACATTGAAGTCCATGTTGCACAAAAATAAACACTGAAGTTTATAATTACTATGTTGTTGTTGTTGATCATAATATATCATATCTTTTAGTTTGTAAGTGCGTTTTGTGGTGTTAGGAATTTTTTTTTTCTGCGCATTTCCGCACTAACACAAAACGTGCGTACACCACCTCCTGAGCTGGCGTAGGATTTGAGCGTGGCGTACGCCAACATCCATATTGATAAATCTCAAAGTCACAGTGGTTTTGGGTGTACGCTGGAAATTTGGTGTACGCACTTTTGATAAATGAGGGCCAATAAGTGTAGCACTAAATCTGGTAAACCGTTACACACATTGCGCTTTGTATTGTTGTAAAATACATTCATGAAAAACAAGATAACAAAAATATAAAAAATATTTTATATATAGCCTAGGCTACTATAAAATTAAGACATTTTTTAAATGTATAGCACAGCTGTTTAATGAGGCAGCAACATATGATAGATAGGACAGAACAAGAAAGGCTATTAATGATCTTTCATTGCGCAAAATTATGATATGAAAGGCTCCAATACAGTGCGGCACACAGCGGTTATGCGCAGAATGATGCGCGTGAAGCAACACGGAGTCACAGCGCGCAGCGCGTCGACGAGTCCGCATTGAAAAGTTCAAAGCACAAAGGAAAGACATATCAATGCGTAGTGTATTATACAGTATCTATCTATGCAATCGTTTATTGAGCCTTTTCTTTTAACAGTTTTAAATTTCAGTTTCTGTGCGCGTGAAGAACAATTATAGTGCTCTCTCCTGTGTTGTGAACTAACAGACACCCAGGAGAAAGTGAAAGGTACAGCAATAAAGTCATTTTATGCAAAACCATAGAGCTTTATCTTCCGATCAAGTATAATAATAGTTACATTGAATCATCTTGGAGAGAGTTTCGTCGTGTTGACTGTCGTAACCGAACGCGACGCGCTGTTTGATGCTGAATGGAGAATGACTAACAGCCGCAGAGGAGGGAAGGAAGAGTTTACGTGAACTTGAATTTAATGACTTAAATATTCATTTCTATCTCACATTATACTGGCTTCAGAACACTTGTAATATAGTGCATGGCCGATACCCGATCCGGCCGAATGGCAGTATCGGAGCCGATACTAAGTATCGGATCGGCGCATCCCTAGTTTATATACATACTAATATAGAAATGATCAATGTGTCTGTTATTTAGTTAGTCTACTTGTACGAGTGTAAATGGAGCATGTTAGTGCTTGATGATTATCTGACCTTTAGCACAAATGACAGAAGGGGAAGTGAGATTTTTTTTCTTTCACTTTTGCAACGTATTTTGCTCACTCTGTATATGCCTTTGTTTCGGTCATTTAAATGCTGAGCTTCCGATTTTTATCTTGACGTGACCACAAAGCCTCCTGTCACATTTTGAGCAACACTCACGTGCATTCAGTTCTGTTCTCACAAGCAAAAATGTTTGCCTACACAATAAAAAGAAGAAAATCACAAGATATTTGCATGCCAAAAGCGTACTCGCCCTCATGTCATGTCATTCCAATTTTTTTCCATGGAACACAAAAGGAGGTATTTTAGAAAATGTGATGGCCGGTTAAAAGTTCAACAAAAGTAGCATAAAAGTTTTCCTTATGACTTGTGCAATATATTCAAAGTCTGTCTGTTAAAGGGTTATTTCACCCCAAAATTTCAGGGCTTTCCTATAGCTCACAGTAGAGCGTTGGCGCTTGCAACGCCAAGGTCATGGGTTCGATTCCCAGGGAAAGCAAGAACTGATAAGAATGTTAATGTTTACCTTGAAATGCAATGTAAGTCGCTTTGGATAAAAGCGTCTGCCAAATGCATAAATGTAAAATGAATTATCCCATAATTCACTAACCCTCAAGCCATCATAGGTGTATATGACTTTCCTCTTTCAGCCGAACACAATTGCCGTTATACATTAAAAAATATCCTGGCTCTTCAAAGCTTTATAATGGGAGTAAATAGAGCCCGAATTTTTGAATCTTCAAAAAAGTGTATCCATCCATCATAAAAGCCAATTGTGTTGTTCGGCTGAAAGAAGAAAGTCATAATCACGTAGGATGGCTTGAGGGTGAGTGAATTATGGGATCATTTTAATTTTTGAGTGAACTAATCCGTTAATTCAACATATGGTGCTTTTTGTCATTTTTGGAGCTCCCTTCCTTATTTTGATTGTATATCAATGAACACCTGGGGTTATTCTGCTAGCATTCCCTTTTATGTTCCTTGGAAGAAAATAAACTCATGCAGCCTGCAACAACATGATGGTGAGTTATGATGACATATTTTATTTTTAGGTGAACTGTTTTCCTAATTTCCCTTGAAATAAACAGTTTAGCTGGTCTGTTATTTAATTCTTTAGTAAATAACAAGCCTAGCAGATTTGAGTGTTTCTGTCTAATAGTTCTACAGCTTAAATCCCGCTGCAGAGTTTTTAATGTCTAGTGCATGTTTCAAAAAAGCAAATATGAAAGAGTTCAGTAACCTGCAGTTTTGGGGACAGCGGGCTAAATTTTTACTCAAACACAAACATTCCCAGATGTTATAACATGGTGAATTCGTTCGCTTTAACACACTGACACAACTGACCATTATTTCATTCTTTAGTATTTAAGCATTCACTTCTTTAAAACTTATTTTCTTTTTAAACTAGCAAATTAGCAAACATATTAGCTTCGTGTCAAAACCTCGGCATCTTGGATGAATTTTTTTCCAATGCATTCTGGGATTGCCTGAAAATACAGTAATTCTTTCTTAACTTTCCCCAAAAAGAGTGTATCTTAGAAGGCATTATTTTGCTGCCTATATTTTGTTACAGCCTTCTTATATTTTATATTAAACGGCCTTGCTGTATGATGTTGTCTAGGTTGCAGTGTTATTTTAGTATTATTTATTTACTATTATATTATTTATTAATATTTTGAATTAGTTTTTATTTTTAAAAAAATTAGTTTGTGGTTTAAGATTTCGTAAATTTGTGATTTGCTCCTTTACATAGTTTTATTATGCATTGTTTTTATTATTTTTTATTGCTCTATTTAGCTTTTATTTAATTTTCAGATTTAGTCATTTTAGTTTTTATTTTAATTACCGAAAACGATTTTTAACAATAAGCTTGAGAGCTGTAGTGTCCAGTTACACAATGAAACTGGACTCAGATCAGTGCTGATCTACTACATGTAAATGAATAGTTTTGGTGATTGGATGAGTTTGTATTTTGTATTTTATGTTCATGTCAGTGTTTCAGGAGCGTCCGGAGATCCCTCCCACCCACGCTCAGGCCGCGGCTCGGCAGATCTCTCCGGAGAGCTACTCCTATACAGCTTCCATTCTCAGGCTGCTCCGCAACAAAGCCTTCATCCTCCTCGTCATCACTTATGGTGAATATCACTCTGAGCACAACGGAGCCATTCAAGACCTCAAACTGGGGTTCATTATGCTTGCTTCCATTCAAACACAGTCATAGTTTGTTACTGAGAGTATTAACATGAATAGTTCTATAGGCAGTGCTGTTTGCTAATGTAAGCATCTCTATTACCGTTGCTCATACTTGTGGTTTGTGATTTGAACATGCTCCTAACTCTAATTATTAAACTTCCGCACATAATTTGTCCTGCTACAGACAGAAATGATTCCTCCAATCACACATGTGCTGTTATTACAGTCATAGTCACATGGTGCACTATAAAATGGAAAAAAAAGTCTAAAACATAGTCTTACACTGAAGGGACTCGATCCATAATATCGTAAATATGGTGCTGGTGCTAAAAATGTGATAATGTTAAAATTGTTTTCGCACCAGTTCCTTAAACCTGCTACTCCTAAACTAGACAGCCGGATTGCACAGCAGCTTCAGCCATGTTATTTTTCCTGTCTGTCTGTCTAAAATAAAATATTATATACATCATATTTTAATTAATTCCTGTGAATTTGACTTGTTATATATTTAAACCAAAATATATATATTGTGATACCCGAATATAAGTGATATATACTAATATAAATATACAAATAAACATTACCATTCAAATGTTTTCAATAAGAAATTAATACTTTTATTTAGCAAGTACACATTAAATTGATCAAAAGTGACAGTAAAAATTTTCATAATGTTACAAAAGATTTCTATTTTTAAATGAATGCTATTCTTTTGAACGTGTTCAACACTGATAATAATCAGAAATGTTTCTTGAGCAGTAAATCATATATTAGAATGATTTCTAAAGGATCATGTGACACTGAAAACTGGAGTAATGATGCTGAAAATTCAGCTTTGCATCACAGGAATAGATTAAAGCTCCAGTCCGTAACTTTTTTGAGTTAAAAATTATCCAAACTAAATTGAGCAAGTACATAACCAGCCAGTGTTCATAACTCTCTGCTTGCCGTAGCTCGATTCAAAGCGGTAATTTTGTAATAATATTTTTAATTCCAGTGGGACTGGTGGATTTCCGCAGGAGATTCGAGCATGTCATTACGTCACATCTTTACACACACATCTGTACACATAAAGAAGGCGTCTCGGCTAGTAGGCTATGAGTGTGAGGATGTTGGAGGTGGAGATTTATAGCCTTTTCTCACAACACTTGATATAATTAAACGTATTAATTTGATGGCGGATCCAGAAAGGTTCAAACGACAATCACCAGAGACAACTGGACAATTCACCCGCTGTAAAAAGACTTTGGACTGAGAGTTTGGAAAAAGAGACTGCAACTGGACCCATGCGAAAACAAGGATAAATATCTGAAGGGCTTTAAATGTCGTCACGCAATGCTGATGTTGAACATTAACAATTTGAGAACAAAGTGTAATTTGCCTCAAACACTGTGTTCATCCGCGCTGTGCCGTGTCGAGGGTGTTGAACTACAACTCACGTAAAGTTGATAATTCCGCGAATTACTGCAATTGCAGATTTCGAACAGAGATGGCGACAAAGAGGAAAAACTGCGGACTGCAGCTTTAAAATATATAAAAACTGTAAACAGTTATTTTCAATTGTAATAATATTCAACAGTATTAGTGTTTTTTACAGATTTTTTTTATCAAATAAAGGCATCCTCTGAGATCTTTCTAAAACATAAAAAACTTGACTGGTATATTATATAAATAAATATATTATTTATATATTTGATTGATTGATATGCTTATGTCTAGCTCGTGATGGCTTGAAGATTAAAATCAGCTAGTCAATAAAAAATGACTGTTTATTTTTTTTTTCTGAAAAAGTAAAAAGCTAATGCTGAACAGAATGAATTGTCATCTCTGCTTTGCTTTCATGGTGAGCATATACTACATTAACGCTGCACACTGAGTTTATGATCCATCTGCACACACACACACACACACAAACAGCTGTGAAACACTGGCACGAGAAGCCTGTAGATGCATTTGACCTGGCTGAACATTGACAGAAATAAACCTGCAGGAATGCAGAGCTCTTTATGTCTTTACAGCCGCTTCAGAAATGTGAATACATTTACTGCTTAGTAGATACACATCAAATCAATAGTCTGAAAGCAGATGTTCTGTGTTAAGTCTTTTTTGGCAGGCTTTTTACAAATGCTTTTTTATGTTTTTGACTTCCTCAGGGCTGAATGTTGGCTGTTTCTATGCTGTCAGTACGCTTCTCAACCGAATGATCATTGAACACTATCCTGTAAGTCCCTCAACCTGTCCAACCAATCATAAGCGTCCATGACAGTTTACATAACTGAATTGATTCCAGTGAATTTTAACTTCATCATTAGCATTTCTGATGGAAGTTAGTGTTTAAGGTTTCCATTTTCCCGTGTATTCATTAATCCAGAAGAACTGATCTTAGTCTGACATATTGTAGTAAAACAGAGAATTTATGTACAAATTTGTTCTGGTTTTAACAGGGAGAGGAGGTGAACGCCGGCAGGATCGGCCTCACAATCGTGATCGCTGGCATGGTGGGTTCCCTCATCTGTGGAATCTGGTTAGACCGATCTAAAACATACAAGTAAGAGTCTGAACTTTAATCCTAACAAATCTTTAAATGTCCTTCAGGCAGTGACAGTGCTTGATAAACATTTGTCTTCATTCCTCCTTTAAGATAAGTGTGTTATTGAGTCCTTTCCCCCCTGTGAGTCTGTTCATATGCTTTGGTTTAGTGTGTTTTTCCAGGTGTTTGCCTCTTTGATCCATGAACCTAGACCTCGTGAGCTTTTGTTTCAGTGCATTTGACCTCATACAGCATGTCTTCCCCTCCTGGGCATTGGGATGTTTCTTTTATTTAACTTTGTTTACACTTACCACCACACTCACACTACTGAACTGAAATATCAGATTAATAATACAATGTGTGTCAATGGAATTATTTTAAAGCAGTTTTGCTTTTTTCAAATGCCTTTTATATACACTGAGAAATTACCTACAAAAAATCATTTAAAGGTGCATTGTGTAATATTTAGGAGGATCTGTTGACAGAAACCGTTATGTTTTTGTATAAAATCAGTATCGCATTTGCACTCGTGTTATTCAGGACAGAAAAACAGCACTCGTGTGATATTGTGCTTGTTACTCGTGTGATCATATGATGTAAATATGAGACAAAAGCATTTTTGCTCCATATCTTGAATTTTAGGGACATTCTAACAGCATTCTATAGGCTCCATCATGCAGTGCGTTGTTGCCCTGCAACATATTCATCATCAATCAACTGTATGAAATGTCAGATGACCTACATAGATCTGGGCGGGGCAAGTGTAATAATTTTAACGCATTGTTTTTTACCTTAATTAATTAATCTAATTAATGTGTTAAATCGACAGCCCTAATATATATATATATATATATATATATATAGGCTACAATGTGTGTATGTGTGTATATATATATATATATATATACACTATATATATATATATACACACACACATATATATATATACTGTATACACTCACCTAAAGGATTATTAGGAACACCATACTAATACTGTGTTTGACCCCCTTTCGCCTTCAGAACTGCCTTAATTCTACGTGGCATTGATTCAACAAGGTGCTGAAAGCATTCTTTAGAAATGTTGGCCCATATTGATAGGATAGCATCTTGCAGTTGATGGAGATTTGTGTCCAGGGCACAAAGCTCCCGTTTCACCACATCCCAAAGATGCTCTATTGGGTTAAGATCTGGTGACTGTGGGGGCCATTTTAGTACAGTGAACTCATTGTCATGTTCAAGAAACCAATTTGAAATGATTCGAGCTTTGTGACATGGTGCATTATCCTGCTGGAAGTAGCCATCAGAGGATGGGTACATGGTGGCAATAAAGGGATCGTTTAAATGCCACAGGTAGGCCGTGGCATTTAAACGATGCCCAGTTGGTACTAAGGGGCCTAAAGTGTGCCAAGAAAACATCCCCCACACCATTACACCACCACCACCAGCCTGCACAGTGGTAACAAGGCATGATGGATCCATGTTCTCATTCTGTTTACGCCAAATTCTGACTCTACCATCTGAATGTCTCAACAGAAATCGAGACTCATCAGACCAGGCAACATTTTTCCAGTCTTCAACTGTCCAATTTTGGTGAGCTCTTGCAAATTGTAGCCTCTTTTTCCTATTTGTAGTGGAGATGAGTGGTACCCGGTGGGGTCTTCTGCTGTTGTAGCCCATCCGCCTCAAGGTTGTGCGTGTTGTGGCTTCACAAATGCTTTGCTGCATACCTCAGTTGTAACGAGTGGTTATTTCAGTCAAAGTTGCTCTTCTATCAGCTTGAATCAGTCGGCCCATTCTCCTCTGACCTCTAGCATCAACAAGGCATTTTCGCCCACAGGACTGCCGCATACTGGATGTTTTTCCCTTTTCACACCATTCTTTGTAAACCCTAGAAATGGTTGTGCATGAAAATCCCAGTAACTGGGCAGATTGTGAAATACTCAGACCGGCCCGTCTGGCACCAACAACCATGCCACGCTCAAAATTGCTTAAATCACCTTTCTTTCCCGTTCTGACATTCAGTTTGGAGTTCAGGAGATTGTCTTGACCAGGACCACACCCCTAAATGCATTGAAGCAACTGCCATGTGATGGGTTGATTAGATAATTGCATTAATGAGAAATTGAACAAGTGTTCCTAATAATCCTTTAGGTGAGTGTGTGTATATATATGACCCCTAATTTTTGAATGGATCTTAAAAATATGAAAATCCATTATAAAAATATATAATTTTTAAAGCAAACCCATGATCTAAACAAAGAGTAAAGCAATCATACATTTTATTATGTGACAATGTATATATTTTGTTACACAGATTGTTACACGATTGTCCCACAGTTGTGGCATCATTTCCACCAAAACCAACTACTTAAACCAACCAACTCACTTTTGTTTAAAAAGTGCTAATAGTTGAAGAAATGCCCAGATATTTTGCAAATGCTATTGTACTAAAGCAACTGAAATGGTATTTCTGAATCTACATGTATTTTCAGCTGCTATTAAGCTATTGATAATATGATTCGTTCAGTCACACTAGGACATGTTGGATCCTGATGAAAGATTTGTCCCATGTCTCTGTTATGTGATGTCTCCACAGACAAACCACTCTAGCTGTGTATCTGATGTCACTGGTGGGTATGGTGATTTATGCCTTTACCTTGGATTTGGGTCACCTGTGGGTGGTCTTTATCACAGCGGGAGCCCTCGGGTATGAGAAGATTTTTACTATTGTGCATGGCAAAATAAAAATTTGCAACAACTTTTTTTTTTTTAAATGTGAAAAACGCAAAAGTTTTGCCCAAAATCTTTTTATTTGTGTGTTACTGACCCAGGTTCTTCATGACGGGTTATCTTCCCCTTGGTTTTGAGTTTGCAGTCGAATTGACTTACCCAGAGTCTGAGGGGACGTCTTCAGGGCTTCTGAACTGCTCTGCACAGGTATGTGTGTGATATTTATTAAAACAATTCAAGAAAATCTCAATTAAAGGGATAGATCCCCCAAAAATGTAAATTCTGTCATCTTTTACTCAACCTCATGTCGTTCCAAACCAATTTTATGCAATTTTATCAAATTTTCTGAAGTGACGCGAGTGCTTTGTTTGCACAAAAAAACATCATTTGCCCACGTCATTTGCAAAGTATTAGGGGGCTTTTACACTGGGCTCGTTTGCTGTGGTCCGAGCCCGAGCGCGTTTGTTCCCGGCGCCCCCCGGAGCGTTGGTCTGGTTTCACACTCAACTTGATTCTATCGAACCCTAGTGCGTTTGCGTGCATATTACGTCATCGCAAACGTGCACGGCGCATGATAGAAAACAGAACGTGGGGCAATATTGTGTTTTTTTATTAATTCGCTGCTATTATGCGCAGTTGAGTGAACAATACAGGTTTACTGTGCGTGTGTCAGACTCACATAAGGTGGCCTTCTGCTGCTTGCAAACGGACTCTTTTAAGGAGACAGTGGATTTACAAATTTGGTGCCCTGATTTCACGCGCAATGCACGAATACACTGCAGGCTCACTCTCGCTCGTATCCAAGGTAAAATCATCAACACTATCATCCCTTACAAGTGTTTTATTTAACTGAATACATCACAATAAGCTAAAACGCATGCGCAGGTTACTTTACTTCCTGAACAAGTGCGCACCCGAGTCCGTGCTACTTCACATTCACGCGAACCGCAGCACGGTTCGGGAGCAACCGAACTCAGACCACCTCCTCCAGGTAGTCTCGGGTTCGGTACCCCAGTGCGCACCCGGGTCCCATGACAGCGTTCACATTCGCGATTTTTCATGCGAACCGTGCCCCGTTCCGAACTAAACTGCCAGTGTGAAAGCCCCCTAAATCTCCGAGCCACGTTCACGTGTCAACACAACACGCATGCGTGCACATGAACGCGGGTTGGAGATTAATATTTTGTAAATCAAGTTGGGTTTTTTTTTTTTTTTTTTGCAAAACAAAGCACTTAATTGCTTCATAAAATGAGGTTAAACCACTGGAGTCACATGAATTACTTTAATGATGTCTTTACTACCTTTCTGGTTCTTGAAATTGGTAGTTGTGTAGCTATCAATGGAGGGACAGAAAGCTCTGAGATTTCTTCAAAAGTATTACGTGTTTGAAATGACATGAGGGTGAGTAATTAATGACAGAATTAAAAATAAATGTATGAACTATCCATTTAAAGGTGAATGATGGGACTTATTGTCTCTCATAATTCATTAAATAAACATTAAACACTTAAGCAATGACAAGAACTGACAAGGAACAGAACAAAACAGGGAGTACTTGTACACAGAATTAACAAGGGAAACAATGACCGACAGCTGAATGTAATCAGTAACCAAGGAGAATAACTAGGAAACAATCAAGGCTAAACTGATCTGAGGCACAAGAAACAAACACCTAGGAACGAAAAGACAACTAAACAAAAAGTAATCCTGACTCCAGGGTCCTGGACAAGATTTTTTCTCAGATTGTCAGGATGGGTAATCCTAAAACACCTGTAGTCTCGGCCCGGCTTAAGAGTGTTGAACAGTGATACACAGATCTTTTCAATGAAGCGGTCATAGTCAAGCTTTATGTTAAATAAAACACTGCTATTGACCAATCAGCAGCAAGGGCCAGAATTATCTGTTTTATAAACTGTTTATAAGAGGCTCCAGTTGTCTTATTTTTAGAATTTTATGTTATTTTATAGAGTTTATAAGGAGTTACCAACAATCCTAATGAACATTGTGTTTCTTACTGCAGGTATTTGGGATCATATTTACGATCTGTCAGGGGAAAATCATGGACTCTTTCAATACGCTGGCTGGAAATCTCTTTCTATGTGCCTTCCTGCTGATAGGAACCTTCATTACAGGTGCAGATCGTTCAATGCTTGTCTACCTGACTAGTTGTTCCTCTTTAATCCAGTACAGAGTTCCCACTTGAAGGAACTGCTTTGTATTTTTTAATCTGGCCCTATGAACTGCTGTTGCTTTCAAACGTTTTGATTCCTGGTGATGATAATGCTTCTTGGAAAGCATTGTATTAACATTCATGCTGCATGAGTGACATTATGAAAGTTGCAGTGTCCTCTATTTTTTCAGTTAATATATGAGCTATTAAAGGGCATATTGCAGGTTAGAGGACCCAACGAGTCAATGTATTCACACATGAAAATACTCACCTTTCGGCGAAATTCGCCGTTTTGAAACCAAAATAGGTGACCTACGTGAATCGTGTAGATTCGATGAGAAAATGTTTGAGGGAGGGGGTGGGGGGGGGGGGTATATTTCTATCTCACATTATTACTATAGTATGGCTTCAAATAGTATACTATATATGAAGCCAGCCATACTATAGTAATAATGTGAGATAGAAATGAATATCTAAGTCATTAAATTCAAGTTCACGTAAACTTTTCCCTCGGCTGCGGCTGTCAGTCATTCTCCATTCAGCATCAAACAGCGCGTCGTGTTCGTTTACGACAGACAGTCAACGATGAAACTCTCTCCAAGATGATTAAATGTTAATATTATTATACTTGATCTGTAGATAAAGCTCTATGGTTTCGCATAAAATTACTATCTTGCTGGACTGTAATGCTGTAACTGTTAATCATGTTCCTTTCTACCGTGTGTCTGTTTGATCACAACACTGTACACAACACGCGCACAGTAACTGAAATTTAAAACTGTTAAAAGAAAAGGCTCAATAAACTATTGCATAGATCGATGCTGTATAATACACTATGCATCGATATGTATTTCCTTGTGCTTTGAACTTTTCAATGCGAACTCAAAGAGATGCGCGCTGTGACTCCGTGTTGCTTCAAGCGCATCATTCTGCGCTCGGGATGCGCATAAGCGCTTTGTGCATGACTCTATGGCAGGACTCTATTGGAGTCTTTCATAATCATAATACTTTTGCGCAATGAAAGATTATTAATAGCCTTTTCTCTGCTATACATTTGAAATGTTCTTAATTTTATAGTAGACTATATAAAATAATTGATCTTTTTGATTTTTATCTTGTTTTTCATGAATGTATTTTACAACAATACAAAGAGCAATGTGTAACGTTTTACCAGATTTAGTGCTACACTTATTGTCTCTTATTTGTTCCCCACTAAATATTTTTTTTCACTAAATGTTCTGATTTTATACCATTATTGTTTTTCTAGACTAAATTTTACTGAGTTATCCACTAGTCTAGTTTATAATATAATTTTTGTCATAGGTTATGATCATATTTTTTTTTATATGTTGTTTTTCTTTATAATGAAGTTGTCTGTATTATGTAGATTGTGTTTAACACACAAAAGAGTGATTATCAGTTCAACAGTTATAGAAATTCTACTTGATTTTTTTTTTTTAAACTGACAAATTGAGTTGTGGTGTGACTGTGAGGAGAACCAGTGAAGAACAGGACAGGTGTCTTGGTGAGAGAGACCAGTGTTAGCTTATAGATATATACACGTTTGTTCGCTAACGATATACACTGTGCTCACAATATTGTACAGATTATTACCATCGTAATAGCAGACATGAGTATGTTTAGTGTAGATAGATATATACTATTAAATGTATAAAAACTATACTTGAGTATATTTGTATTGTAGCCTACTAAAAACATTCTCAAGTACATTTTTAATACATATTTTTCACCTGTGTGGCTGTGTTATAACATAAACATTAAATTAAAGGGTAACGCTTCCTTTTACAGTCCTGTTACCCATGTACTTACTATGTACTTATTATAGTAATTATAATTACTGGGTAATAACTAGGTACTAACCCTGAACCTACCCCTAAACCTACCCCTAACCCATGTACTTACCTTATATTAGCCAGTACTTTCTAGGTAATTTTCACTGTAAGTACACGTAAGTACTGTACTGTAAAAGGAAGCGTTACCAATTAAAGATTTGAATATTTAAACTATCTGAGTAATTTTGTTTTTCAATTACAAGTTGCCTCTATTGAGGGCATAACTACCTATATCACACTATTTGATGCCATTGGTACAGTATACGACGATCAATATTCTTGCTTCGGCATCCCATGTTGAACTCCATCATATCGCCGGGATAATAATCCTCCGATCTGAAGTGAACGCTACACACGACCGCGTTTCTCGAAGCCGATGCGGAAGAGAAATCCCGTCTCTTCACCTGCACAAACCGCACCAGGCACGAAAGATATACAGCACCGTCCCTTTTCTTGTTATGAAACCTGTGGACTCGATGTCCTGACAGGCCGGAGTTTTTGCAACCTCCACAAACACAATAATTTACCATGATGATGATAAACTAAAATACAAAAACTACCGAAAACACACTAACTCAGGACCGCTCTTTACTGAATACCAGCCTACTCTGCACTGAGCCGAGGCTGAGGCTCCCTTTCGTGACGGAAAATGATGCGATGTTGGGAAAAAAGCCGTTTTTACAAGCAGTCCAAGAAACGCTCACTTTATCTACTAAATTAGTGCCCTTATGTCATTTTAAAACATTTTAAATCCTGCATTAACTTTTCATATGGTATTTTCATACAAGGTTATATATTCATTTAGGTTTTTTTTTTTTTTCACCTGCAATATGCTCTTTAAACGCATAGAAAAAACACTGGATTGTGTAAATATAGAATAAGCGACGTTGTTTTGGGACAAACACAGAACCGGATATCTATCCCTTCAGTGACTCGCCCTGCCATCTAGATTAAATTTAAGGTAGATTTTAGTCAGATGAACTGTGTTCTCAAGACAAGGGTGGCAAATTGTCACATGTTTTAAATGTTATACAATTATATAATACAATCTAATATAATTACAATAATAATGTTCCCTGCAGTTATCCAGATTGTTGTTATGGATCATTTAAAGTCGTCCTAGTTAATATTCAACACATTTTCCAGGCAATTATAGTTCATGTGGAGAAACTATATAGTCCTTCATATAACACTGATCCGTAGAGGTACAAAGTTTTTACTTTCTCTTTGAACAATGATTTAGATCTCAAAAGTCCAACCAGAATGATCTTCCACGTAAACTTAGCCAAACCCATTGATGGATCATCATGGATGTGTCACCCATGCAAATTAAACCTAATAATAATTAAAATTACATCTATTTTAGGGCCATTCGGTATTTATTGCATTTATAAGTTAGGAAATATTTAATTATTTTGCCATGCATACAAAAAAAATCTTAAATATGGAATAAAATATGAACTGGACATGTTCTTTGAGGGATTCATCCATTTATATTTACAATTCAAATACCGATTGGATAGACTAGCGCTCACAGGATGCATCAGTCATCTCAGTAGATAGATGTGAATGTTAAAGCCATCGTAATGTGTGTGTGTCGTGTTTCTGTTCTTTATCTCAGCCTGTATTAAGTCAGATCTGCGCAGACAGTTGGCGAACCAGCAAGCACTGGCAGCTGTAAGTATCAAACCAAACCTGCAAAACAGTTACACAATAAGATTTTATGAGATATATATGTGACAGAAAGCAGATTACGGTTTACATGACCTCCTCATCCAGGAATAAGTTCATGTTTTGTACTTTTTACAAAACTTTTTACAGCCACTAACATGTACCCTGGATGTCCCTAAGATGCACCAATATGAAAATATTGGCCGATACCGATAATTCTTTATATTTGAAAGCCGATAACCGATATATTGGCTGATAAATCTACGTAAATCTAAATTTTTGAGTGCCTGATTACAAAAACAAAGTCTCATCATGTCCCAATCACACAATTATAATGATGTTCGCATTATAAATGTGTCGCCTATATGACAGACTTGCACTGCACATGTTGCACTTAACCTTATTTTCCTTTTCAAAGTGATTCCAATCATATTTTTTCAAGCAATTCAAAACCATCATGGCGAAAAGTGCGCATCTGAAGTGTCTCAACTGAAGGAAATAATCCATTATTTATCGCTTTAATATATATCAGTCAAATGTTCTTATTGGCAGATAACGTTAACATTAAAAATGAACATACGTATCTGCCGATACCGATACGGTGGCCGATATATCGGATACAGCAGATACTAGAGAAAGGACTCCTGTTGTTTCTTCCTCATGTTTCTGTGTTGTTGTTGTTATTGTTTTAACTTGAACTCCAGTGTTTTCAATTAGACTGTTAAATGTATTTATTAGTTGGTCGTTTTGGTTTGTTAGCTTTTGTTTCAAAGGTTCACAGCAGGAATGTGGCCGTGTTCCTGCAAGTGTCTTCAAGGGTCTTCGGCCCAGCAGTTTCTTTGAACTTTTTATTGTGTTGGCATTCCAGCGCTGTGATTGGATGTTACGTGGGAAATACCAGCCCCATAAACCCACTTCATACTGTTCTTCACTATCACTCCTGCTCATCTTTACACGCTATATCATGTTCCCTTGTTCCACCCACCCCAGTCAGACTACAACGTCTAATGATATTACAGTTAACTATAACCATCTTCTATTTGAATACGTTTTATATTGTAATTTATTTCTGAGATGTCAAAGCTGGATTTTCAGCATCATCACAAACTTTTCAGTGGTTGTGAAATTCTCTTTCCTCTTTTCACTCGTTCCATCCTCTTTCTGCTTTGGTTCATAACTTCCACTCATCTCATCTCTCTTTTCTACTTATCCTGTTTTCCCTTTCCAATTTTCCACTTATGCCATTCTCTTTTCCACTCATCCTTTTTAACTCAACCTGTTTCTCTGCTTGTTTTGTTCCCCAATTTCTACTCACCCCGTTCTCTTCAAATCTGTTCATAGATCAGTGTGTGTGTGTGTATGTGTGTGTACAGGCAGCGTTGGCCAGGTCATACGTTCAGGATGACTGTGGGACGTCTCTCCTTCCATCCACACACATGTGACCAATCAATCACTGCCTGATTTTATTGCGCACTGTGGTTCAGGTATGGGCGGCACATGTGATTAGCCCGTCTGATTCACACTTGATGGCTTCATTCAGATGTGCTTTTGATTCTCAGTGTCCAATGTTAATGATTTTTGTCTGCTCTATCTAAACGCTTCACCCTTTAGCTTTGTGTCTGTGTGAGTGCTTGTTTATATGATTTATGAGAACACAAATTTGTATAATGACATGGGTATTACACTGGTATTACAACGTAAATGTGGATTATGAGGACATTTCCTGAGTTCTCGTAATTAAAATCTCTTAAAAAGCATACTAAACAATGTTTCATGTGTGTGTGTTTAACTATAGATTGGTTGTTTGGTCTGTACTAACATTTAACCCTGACACACTAACTGTCCTCCAGTGGATGTGTGTGTGAAACTGATTTAATGCCGTCAGGGGGCGCCGTTTCACTGATATCTATTATTAATGATGTGTTTTGTGTTTTTAGAGCCATTTGGAAACATCTCCAGCACAAGCTTTTGAAGCCAAACTCTAATGTGAACATAACACGGATCTTGTAGCATTTCACCTTTTTTTTTTCTGTGACGCTGTTTATGTTTTATAGTTTGTAACCAGCCTTGAATTTCGATTTATTTTGCCTGAGACTGAAAGTTATTTTGTGACATTTGAATCGGGATGTATTATTTTTGTTTATTTGCATTGTGTCAAATGTCTGCATTGTAACAGCCAAGGACTGACTAAGTGTTTGTTTGTTTGTTCATATGGTGTGATCATGTTTAATCGATCACTAATCATCTCAATAGGACATATTCTAATTTTAAATCAGTTTATCAATTTCTGTTTTCAATTTAAATTATTAATGTTTTTCTTGCAAAAAATTTTTTATGGAAACTTATAGGACAAATTCTTCAATGAAACCTATTGGAGCGAGGAATGTTTCAGTATTTTTGAACTAGGAAATAGGAATAGGAACCGAATCCGTTTCTGAACAGCTAAATATGAAATGTTGGTTTCCATCTATGCAATAATATGTACTGAAAAATGTTTCAATATTTTTATACAGTTGTTTTGTATTTTGACCCTATATTTAAAGTTCTGTGAAGTCCATCTGAACAAATTGTAATGAATAACACAACTCTAACATCTAAAGCTGTTATATTATGTTTTATTTTTAAAATGCTAAAAATTTTAAAAGAGTGTTTAGATATATATATAAAATCACACATAGAGCTCTCATATGACTATCCATAAATATTTTAATGCAGTAAACAGTGCAGAAAAAGTGTCAGCATTTATGACAGCATTTATGATATATGTAAAAAAAGACATCTTATTTCACAATTTTATAACAGCATTTTATATATTTATCAAACTGTATAATTATTTTACGTAGCAAAATTAAAAAAGAACCAGCAGTAACGTCCCGTACACATTCCAAACAAAGTAAAAACAGCTTTACATATTTTACTCATTTAACGACAAGTGCATTTGAAAGGGCATTTCATAAAAGTGAGACAGCAGTAGCAGCCTGTTCTCTTTGATAGTCTGTTTGAGCTCCCTGTGGTTTGTGTGGAGGTATTTACTCATCCAACTGCAATACGTGTTCGCGTGTTTGTTTGGGTGCTCGTGACTGAAGCCCAGTGTGTTGGTAACATCAAGTCCTCAATTGGCCTGCTGTTCTAAGGCACCTTCAGCTGTTTGATTGTCTGCAAGTGTCATCGTTACCAATACACAAGCATTTGAGGCACACCTGTCAGAAGAACATCAGGAGGACAACAATACATCACAGCACTGGAACATCACCTCCGTGGAATGTGGTGAGGAAATAAAATGTTCTGAAATCGGAATAATTGCAGAGGAATCATGTGGATTTGTGGACTCTTGACAGTCTATTCACACCGTCTTCATGGTCTCCAACACTATACTGACGACATTACGTTATAAAATCTATCGATAATGCACAAGCAAACCATGGTAAATTGTAAACCGCAAAGTACAGGCACCTCAGTTGATTGTACCACAAAAGAAAGCATTTAAGAAACCAGCAATGGAACGATATCTATTCTTATAACTTAAATGATTTATCTTATATTTATATTTTTACTTTACAATATGGGTTTACAAATATAAAATACATTTCCCCGCTTTATCGCACACCATATACAAACTCTTAAATATTCATATCAGCGCCAGATCATGAGCCAGTCACGTGATGCGATCTGGCCGTCTCACTGGACATTTCAGTAGAAATCTACAGGTGTGTTGGACTTGAAGCGGCGCTGTGCAGTCAGAGTCAGACCGATTGGCGTATGACATCAAAGTACCGCGAGAGCTATTCGATTTTCAAATAGCTTTCGAATCTCTCGCGGTAACCTGATGTCATACACCGATCGGTTTGCAGCGCCGCTTTAAATCGAACACACCTTACATCTGAGTTCATTACTGTCCTCATCCTTAAAGGGACAGTTCACGTAAAAATGCAAAATCTGTCATCTTATACAAACTCGGGCAGCTTTAGTATAGAATTTTACGCGGATGAAACGAGTTTTGGCATGCACTATATAAAAGTCCTATATCACATGTAATTTTCAAAACTTTTTGTAAAAGATTTTTAAAAGGTTTTTCGTCGTTACTTCAATGCCTCACAGAATTTATTCGCGCCAAAATTAAAATGGCGCTGCCCTGGCGATAACATTTAAGCGAAAGAAAATTACACAGGAATGTTCAGAATGACATGAGGGTGACTAAGTGATGACGTAATATTACTTTTAGGGTGAACTATCCCTCTAATTAAAGTATTGTTTGCTATCTATAGGACATTTTCCCTCTTAAGACATTAACAGTAATAAAAACCTCTTATAATAACTATTGATACACAACTCTTCCTAGAGCTTTGATAAATTCTCATTATGTAACTTGTATATTTGTTAGATATTATTGATTGCATTTATCGCTTGATTTGAACTTTAAAAGATGATTTGGTGTATTGCTCTTTGAGCACATTTTTATAATCACCAATTTCTATAGAGATGCTTTAAACACTGATATATAAAGTAATACTTCAGTGCCTGAAAGAAATCATGTCATTATGCAATGTCTGTGATACATGACAGCAGAACACCAGAATTAATTCATTAAGGCAAACTAATATTTCAGAAAAGGAAAAATTGATTTTGTGGTACATTCTCTCTTAATGAGAAAACAGGATCCTCTTCAGCATTTTAAAATCACAAAAATCATATCTGTCTTCTTGTTCTCAGAAATGGCTCATTATTTATATATAGGTACAACCTGATGTTTAAGTTGTTTTTCTGCATTTAAAAAAAACTTTGTCAGTTCTTTCTGAACCATGTTACTGGCCTCTGGATTACGTATCGTCACATCTGTTCTGTCCTTCAACTCTGTCCCAATAACACTGATAACAGCAGTGAATCAAGCACTATCCGTGATACACCAGCAGGGAAAGATCAAGATTCGGCTCTGGGATGCGTCAGAGTTCAGAAGTTGTATTAAAGTCAGCACAAATACACAAACGCACACATAAATGTGGACCTTGAGTATTCTCACAGCTCGTTGCCTATAAAGCAGTTCTTCCTTCTTCTGAGGGTTTTATTAAGGCATCCACTGCACTGAAATACGCTCATTTGTGAACGTATGTTTGGAAAACATAAGGCAGAATATGAATATCTTTATATTGATATGCAACCTGCAGAAAATTTACTCCAATGCTCCATTTTAAAAATGGCTTCTTCAGGAAAAGGAGGGAAGTCTCTGACCAGCCGCAACCTTCTTTCCACAACAGTTTTTGAGCCACATAAATCCATATCTGCGATCTTACAGTGCTGTGTAAAACTTTTGTGTCCTGAACAGGTGGGCTGTGGCCTCTCATCTCCGGGCTCTTGCATTTTGGGCTCCTTCTTGAGGAAAAAGGAAGTTGTAGATCGATGTCACTAGCTGGAACAAACCCAACTGGCCCCTGTGAGTGAACTGCACAAAAATAAACCAAAAATGATTATTCAATAGGTGAAATATCTGTTGTAGGTGAAATATGATATTGCATTTAATACGACAGGAGATGAGTTATTATGAAACTATCCATTTTATAATTAAAGTCCACATGAATTTACATTCACAAGCCATTTCTCTTCAATAATTTGACATATTTCCAAGTGAAGGCTGCATTGCTTGCATCAGTTGCCTAAAACAATGACTTAATTTTCCCTGTCAGTCAAAAAGCAAAGTTGTTTTAAATAAATAATGCACAATAAAACCTCAGGAGCGTCTATTAAAAGGATAGTTCACCCAAAAATGAAAATGTTGTCATCATTTACTCACCCTCAAGTTGTTCCAAACCTGTTTTAGTTTCTTTCTTCTGTTGAACACAAAAGAAGATATTTTGAAGAATGTTGGTAATCAAACACTTGAAGGGTAGCCATTGATTTCCATAGGAGAAAAAAAACAACAATGGCTACGTCAACTGAACATTCTTCAAAATATCTTCTGTTGTGTTCAAGAGAAGAAAGATACTCATACAGGTTGTAAACAACTTGAGGGTGAGTAAATGATGACAATATTTTCATTTTTGGGTGAACTGTTCCTTTAAGAAAGTAAATAGGGTCAATGTTGATTATGTTTGTTTTTAAATTGCAGGTATCTGCCATGAGATGGCGCTGTGACCTCAAGCTTCACTTCAAACTCCTCCCCTTCCCTCTAAATGCCCCTGATGGACAGTTAAAGCAGCCAATCAGCAGTCAGGCCATCTGTGTTGTAAGTGGTGTTGTGGTTCAGCCTTGACTATTGCAGTATGTTGCATAAGCGACTACTCTCACTGAAGGCATGCTAGATGTAAAAGAGTTAGCAAAGCTGTAATTTAGATGAACTTATTTAAATTATTCTGACCCAAATTATTTTTAATTGTATTGTCATCTTTCTAGTTTTTAAGTTATGCAACCGCCCTTCTGTGAGAACATGAAGTTTCAGGTTTTTGATTGTATCTGAGCTCATGTCTATAAAGCGTACATTTCATTAAGACATCTCAGTTGTTGCGGCTCAGCATTTAACGCACACAGACACAGACAGTGTTACTAAAGAAGGTGTTACATTTGAGAATGTGGTCACATGTCTGCTGACGTGGAGTTTTAGTCTGTCTAAATTTAGCCAGCAGTATAAACACACTTCACATCCTCTTTCTGAGCTCACACACAAACTACAGCCAGCCTGGGTAATGCTGAACTTGCCAACTTTCAAACCCTTGATAAATCTAAAATCATGTAGAGGGTGTGAGTTAATATGCCTCTCTTATAAATGTAAAAGTCACTTTGGATAAATGTTAACATAGATAAGTCTCAAACATGGAAAATGTTTACCTCTAAAAAAAGTCACATATTATTAAACAAGACCAAGTTGTCTTCATTTGCTGTTTGTAATTTAAATGTACTTTTTAAAATACATCTACAACAAAACCATTGTAAAAAATCCTCCAATGGGCATATTTACATGCTATAATGTGGCACTTCTCAAAATTATATAATAAAAAGTTCAATTACAAAACTTTTTTCCATGTATCTCCCATATTGTTCTTATTTATTTACTTACCCAGATAAACACTTTAAACTAATCAGATTTTACCACAAACCTTAATTAAAACCAAATAATAATGTTTCAATAGTCATGCAGCCTCTATAAATAAGTTTGCTAAATAAATATAATCTAGTAATTAAACTCCTCCATCATAACTGAAATGTTATTGGTGCACTATATATATATATATATATATAAATATATATGTGTGTGTGTGTATATGTATGTATTCATCATTTTATGTAAAATTGATAAAATCTAAGAGAACTTGAGTAAACAGGATGAGCTAACCAATAATGATGTCATTGCTCCCTCTGAGCATTTGCATGAGCGGCATTGAAATAACAGACGATGGTGTCATTGCACGTTGTGACTGAAACCACTGCAGTGAAACCACTGACTCTGTCACACACCTGTGCAACTCTTTTACCCATCTGATTCACATCGGCCGAGAGGAAAGGAAACTTAACTAGTATGATCTGAAATCACTCTTACCAGCTGAAGATGTTCCTGCTGAAACTGATCCCCCATTTCACGCAATTTACGTCCAATCTGAATCTCCACGCTAATTCCCATGTCACGTTCGTCTTCTTTTTCTTCTGGTCTCGCTTCGTCGGCCTCCCTTTCTTCGACGTTTTGTACGCCATCCGGGACAGGTTCGAACAGCGCGGGGAAATGTGCACGAAATCCAGCATTTCCTTCAAGATAAAAGACATATTTCTATTATTATTGTATAGTGATATAATAATTATTTTTATGGATATATTATAATATTATATAAAATATTTAAGAATGAAAATCAATATCTTTAAAACAGTTTAGTACTTCAGTTTCAACAAAATTTTACATGCGATCCAAGGTCAGTAAATAAAAATGCACAGGGCAAAAATGCCACTGAAAATGCCATTAGGTATAGTTTTTTATTTATTATTTAATTTTTCTCTCTTATCTAATTATAAAGTTATCTAATTTATCTGTTTTTATAATCTAATTTAATTAGTTTTTCTACGTTATATATTAGGGATGCATGATATCGGTATCGGCCAACATAGGGTTTTTTTATGTTATCGTTATCGGCCCGAAAAGAATATTTGGCCGATATCTTAAAGCAGATAAATAATGTATTATTTCCTTTAGCTGAGACACTTCAGATGCGCACGTTCACCATGATGGTTTTCAATTGCTTGAAATATGATTGGAATCACTTCAAAAAGGAAAATACAGTTAGGTGCAACATGTGCAGCACAAATCTGTCATAGGCGACATCAAATTATGATGAGAACATCATTATAATTGTGTGCTTGGGACATGGCTTTAATGGTGAGACTTTTGTTTTTGTAATTAGGCACTCAAAAATTATATACAAATTTGGATTTAGATTTATCGGCCAATATATCGGTTATCGGCTTTCAAAAATTAAAAATTATCGGTATCGGACAAAATGTTCATATATGTCCCTAATAAATATATACATATAAAGACACTATAATGGCACTGGCACTATAATGTGAATGAGGTTACATTTGTGTTTGGCCATAATACAATCTCATAATCATATGATATAATCATATAATGATATGATGCATATTATGTATCCCTACCATGAAAAAGTGCTCTTGGCCCTGGAGCCCCAGGGGCCATAGTAAGTGACGCAAGGCCCCTGGATCCACAGTGAGCCCTGAATGCAGTCCTGGCATCCACAGCTCCACAGGGAGATGATGTGTCTCTCCCTGAACCCTGGAACGGTGCCATATCTCCGACTCTCACTGAATTCAGGACAGAGCTCACTGTCTGCGTGGATCTGTCTTCAAAGAGTCTGTGTCTGTTAACCGCTCGACGGTGGGCGTCTCCGTTCTCTGAGCTCTTGACTCTTAGTGGTGTTTCACAGCAGCGAGGAAGCTGTTCCTCCTCCTCATCATCCATCGGCGGAGTCAGCAAAACTGCCCTGAAATATAACACAGACTGTCACTCAGTGCCATATTGGAATTCACATGCTGTTCATTTTTTTCCGTATATTAAACAGGGCCTCAAAAAAGTTTATTTGCTTCTGTTTTTCTTTCTAGTCCAGTGGTTTTGCTTCAGGACCCATATTTTACATTGGATATTAAGTGGCGACCAAACACAATGGCAAAAATGTTACAAAAGTAAACATTTAAATATATAGGTTATATATTGGTTTACTACTAAGTGACTGATGAATTTGTCCCAAAATTTGATTGGACGCACAGTTTTGGACATAAACAACATAAAACATGGCGATTTATCTTCCCTTTTAAAAGTTGATAAGCTTATTTATTTTCTAACCCAAACCATGTTCAGTTATCATATTATCTAAGCCTTTTATGATTTGCATTTAGCATTGTTTTTCCTCCCTCTCCTCTCCAGTGCATTTTAGGAACACTTGGCCTTATTTAAACACTGAATCTCACAGAGAGCTCACCCACATTCACAAGAACAACCAAACACGCCAGATCTAAATAGGTTTAACAATGAATCATTACAATCAGACAGTTGATCAGCACGTAAGTGCAACTTCTGGCATCAAAGTGCAGTGAGATGACTAAGATAGTCACAAACGAAACCGCCAAAACGTCAAATGGCAACATTTCAAACGAGCCTCATACAAATGAGAGGAAGTTTAAGGCTTGTGCTCAAAAGAGTTTTCCCAGAAAACAATACATTTCAAATCTGTACCATCATAACAAGTCAGTTTATGAATAATCTGATCAACTGAGAGTTACAGTACAGATGCAGTTATAGTGAAATTGGTCAAATTGACAAAGCACAAAGAGTTGCATGAAGAGATCTCAGAAATGCATAGATGTGTAGTTTGTTTGCAGTGCATGAAGTCTGCAGTGAAAAAGACAAATAATAAATTAAAAACCCAGATATTTTATATTTTTTAATTATAAATGTGTTAATAGATTGATTATCACATGGACAGATAAATATCAATGTGAATAACACTCTTAATCCCTGCTGTGAACCAATATGGGGGGGGGGGGGGGGGGGGGCTGGGGCTGGGGGGAGGGGGGGTGGGGTGTCAGACTTGCTTGGCCAGGCTGAAAGACAATTGAAGACCATCATCAATCTCTACAATTATTTAGAAAAACATTTTAGGCTGGGTTAAGGTGTTGTTTTCAGCAGGGAATACAAACCAAACTAAAACATATACCATAAGGTAATGCCAAAATAGAAAGCATCACGACACCATGAAACATGTGAATGTCACTCTTTGATATTTCAGATTTTTTAAAGTCTAGATCTGAACATCTGAATCAGAACATCATATTGGGAATATTTCATTGTATTAGATTATGATCGTTGTTCTGTAATTTTTAAAACACTTTCTTTCACAGATCAAAACACTGAAACTTTGTTTTGTTTTTCAATAGAGCAAACCACCAAAATCCCAAACTACAGAATGAAACTGGAGCAAATGAGACAGAAACAGGAGACACTCACCGCCAGCGTTTGAATGTGTCTGTCAGTGCTGTTTTTATTCCGCTTTTTGTGTCAGAGCTCTTTTATTCCGTCTTCACTCTGCTTGTATTTACTAACACAGACTCGCTCCGTTTTCATTCTGCGCCCTCCGCTCGAGTTGTTTGTATTGGACACGAGCGCGGCGAAAGTCCCGCCCATCTCCGCTGACGTAACATGATATGATAATTAGCCCAAAGAGGCGGTTGGTGTTGTTGGTGCCCGAGGGAAAAGGTCAGTTTAGGGTTTGTGTGTTGACTCTGTCAGTCTCTTTTTATGTATAAACGGAGCATTTCAGCAATTTTATCACATTAAACCATTCAAACTTTGGAGATTAGTTGTCGTGTTATTTTTTTTTAAACAAACAAACTTTAAAGTGCTTTAAACTAATCAAAATTTGAGAAAAGCGTGCTTCCATCGACAGCCTTATTGTGACGAAACGTTTTCCAACTGGAAATTGCAAGTAGGCTATTTTGTTATATTACTGCAGATTTGTAACAGATAGAATATTTTTGGAGGATTTGTTGATGCTTGAAATTACATTCTATTTGCTGTTTTTGGCAAGTTATCAGTCACATGACAGATTGCGTACTTCTGGGGAGCATTAAACTATTGAGAGTATATATATATATATATATATTCTTAATAGTTTACACAATTCTTCCAATGCTGGGATTTTAATGCCCAAGACCACCCCTATATCTTATATAGGCCTACAGATAAACAACAAAACGCATACAAAAAATTTTAAGCACACTTCAAAAATATACACATTAAAAAGTCAAATAAATTTAGATTATGCTCATCTATAAAATGACACTTTTTTAATGCATATAGCATAAATTATTAACAATTATTAATAATGTAACACACATTTTCCATGTGTGTGAAGTATGGAGTATGCTTTCTGTCTAGAGACTTGCGCTTTCCGAATCCCGTGTGAAACTGACTTTATGTTGAAGTGGTACTACCGGCCCAATTAATGAGCGGCCCACCAGGAATTTTGGCACTCCAGGCCAGTGTTGGGGAAGTTACTTTTAAAAAGTAGTGAGTTACAATATTACGTTACTCCATAAAAAAGTAACTAATTCCTTAACTTATTACTTTTTATGGAAAGTAATGCATTACATTACTTTTGCGCTCGGGTCGAGTATGACCGGTTTCATTTGGTGCCGTGACCCAGATGGGAGTGTGGTTTAGGGCGGCGAGAGTAACGGAAGTAGGCCAGTTAGAGCTGTGCGTGTAAACCTCACTACCTTGGCCTCAACAGGCACACTAGCTATTGATGCTAGAGGCTGATGTCTTTATTGTCCTTGTTAGCGTGTGCGCCTCCCACACGAATCCCAGTTTCGAATCCCGCTCAGAGAATGGTCAGGTACTGGTTACATGTGTGTGTGTAAATTGATTTTTTTTTTTTTATTGAGTAGACATATATATATTTACTTTTTATTGTTGTTTTTCCAATGAAAGAAAGAACTTCATGGATTTGGATTTTTCCTGGATTTAGGAATACTTTCCAAATTGTATTTGATTTTGTTGTCCTTGCAAATCTTCAATATCCACAGGAAAGCTTGTTGTTTTTGTTTTGTTGTTTTGTAGTGGACTGGACATATACACTGACCTTGATATCTGTCAACCTTACAAGTTATTATTGTGATCAGTTTGTACACTTTTCCATTTTCTACATTTTTGTGCATGCATATTTTCTGCCTAAGCCAGAATTTAAGTGCACAGTTCAAGTGCACTTGTTGTAAATGGGCAGTGAGTCACCTGAATATCACAGTCTCCCTGTTCTCACTCGCTTGCGATGACATCATCCTTTCCGACAGCCGTTGTTGGGCTCAGCATTCCTGCACACACTGTTGCTGCGCTTCTCAACCTTGAGATCACAACGGCTAATTTAAAGATTAATTACTGTTCTAGAAAACTCAACAAAAAAAAAGAATGTGCTGATTAACATGTAAGGAACTTTTAGTTTATAGTGTGTAAGCTTTATACAAGCCTGTCTGATTGTTTTAAGCCTGCATGCAAACTTCATTAGTCAGTGCAGGACAACACATTGCTGGCAGGGATTTCATTTTGCTGAAATGCTGGGATGGTTTCAGATGAGGATAAGGTAGAGACAAATCACTGACTAGAGGAAGAGGATTGAAATAGACTCAAAGTGACTCTGTTTCTACGGTAACTGTGGATGGGGAAGTACGAGAGATGAGAGCGAGGCCAAACAAACGCTGGCGCTGCCTCCGTGGCAACAGCTACATCATTGGTTCTTGTTTCATAGTAAAGACCTGTTTAAAAAAAAAAATCACAAGAGGCCCAGGAGACACCTCCCTCACAACTGCATGTTGCATCAGAAAGATCCTACAAGAGGAAGAGCAAAACACACACACACACAAACACATCACATGCTCCACTTCACTCTACAGCCCCCTCCTTCCTCCCCGCTCTCCCGCCAAAACATCTCAGCGAGTAAATCCTGCCTAGAAACCAAACAGCTGACTTCTGCCTCTCTGTGATTGGTGCAGCTCCCTAGCAACGGCGTGTGTTAATTCAGCCAATCAGGCGCTTGGTTTTCTGCACTTTCAACCAATAGCAGGCAGCCGCAGCTTACCCAGGCAGTAACAGTGACTTGGTAACTGTCCGGAAGAACAGAAAGCAACTGTGATTGGTGGGATCCGTGCTGCGTCCTCATTGGCTGCTCATGACGATCTCTCAGTCATTCATATGTTTTTGCGGCTGCTCTCTTTTGCCCTGAAGGGATACACCCACAGCAGAAGGTCAACTTCTCTTCAACCTGATTGGCCGAGCAGCAACGTGGACTCCTAGTAACAAACCACAATTGCTGAAACAGGGTGTGGTTAGGCTTCTGTCAGTCATCCAAATGCTAGCCAAACATGATGTTGTTGCTGCCGGTCTGCTCATATTAAGAAGTATTTTGTGTGACAAACAGGCCTTCATTAACACACTTTTTGCTCTGGGAGTAAAAATCATACTTCTGTGTTTGTTCACACATATTTGTATTACTGCAACAGTGTTTGCTAAGATTCACTGCTAATATTTGCATAGCTCCTGTTCGGCATCTGTCAGTTTGGTTGTTTACATTGGTTCTCTCAGGAAAAAACAACAACAACTTGTTAATGTCTTTGGTTACTTTTTTATTTCGTAACACTTTATTTTACAGTGTCCTTGTTACATATGTTACATGTACTTACCATAGTAATAACAGTACATTATGCATAATTACATGCAACTAACCCTCAACCAAATCCTAATCCTACCATAACCCTATAGTAAGTACATGTAGTTGCTTAATATTACTCAGTACTTAAATGTATAATTACATTGTAACAAGGACACTGTAAAATAAAGTGTTACCATGTATTTTTTGCTGCAACCTATTTGTCTAATTTTAATTTTGAGCCATTTTACAATCTATTTATCACACATTTATCATTTACAACATCATATTTGGGGTCTAACTGGTCCAGAAAGTGTTAACTTGTCATTCTCCTGTGTTTAAACTTTAGATGTGTGGAGAGCAGTGCGTGATTCACCTAACAAGAAGAATGAGTCCCCAGATGAATGAAAGACGAATCAGAAGTGACATCATGGTTGTAAGATTGCATGACATCATGCTTCAAGGTAGACAGATTATTGTCAAATTTGAACCAGAATTAACTGGCAAAGCAATTAGCAGTCTCAATGATCTAGATAAATATAATCAGTTTAATGAATAAAGTCTTTTTTAAAGCTAATTAGATTATTTTCAAAGGCATTGGTACAGCAGGCTGCTTTAAGCTATAAGCAACATTGGCAATAATCTAAGACTATAGTGCCTATACAGATATTAAGTCCAGTCTTTGATTTATAAGGAAGATTTGTAAGAAAATCTCTGCCTGTTTTGCCCTGACCACAGTATTCAGAGATCTTACCGTTTGGGGTGCTTCTAACACATACAGTACTTGAAACAGTGTTGTTATTAACTAAAAATATAAAAAAATTAAAACTATTTTAAAAAGATCAGAAATTGAAATAAAACTTAAATAAAGTAAAATATTTTATTAGTAAAATATAAAATATTATATGAAAAACTTTTTTTTAAACTAACCAACTAACTGAAATAAATCAGTTGAAGTACTAAACCAAAACTGAAATAAAAATTTAATTAAATAAATGTATAAAAAAAAATGAATAAAAGCTATATAGAAAATAAATATAAAATAAGAAAAGCACATAACAAATTCACTAAAACAAAAATACAAGTGAATTCAAAATATTAATAAATGCTATAAATTATAATAGTATAAAAATTTGAAGAAACGAATATCAGTGTATAATATCCTACATTAATATTCCCCGCTTATGATGCTTATAATAATTTCAGATGAGAAATAATTCACATTTACATTTATGCATTTAGCAGACGCTTTTATCCAAAGCGACTTACAAAAGAAGAGCAAAGCATTCATCAAAGAGCCAATAATCGTAGTACACAATGCCAGGTTTATAGACAACTACATTAGGAAACCAGCTGGAGAAGAGAAGAAATGCATAGTTTGTGTGTGCGTTGGTTTAAGAGTGTGAGTTCATTGAGTGCTTGTGGAAGAGGTGCGTCTTCAGCTGCTTCTTAAAAGATGTGATGATCTCAGCAGTTCGGGTGGAGGTTGGCAGCTCATTCCACCAGAGAGAGGAACAGAGAGAGAGAATGTTTTGGAGAGTGACTTTGTGCCTCGTTGTGAAGAACAACAAGACGTCTCTCATTCAGTGACCTGAGCTGGTGGGAGGGAGCGTACATTTTATAGTAGTGGGTTGAAGTATAGGGGAAGCAGTTCCAGTGGTTTGTCCTGAAAGATCAGGAGGGGTGTAACATGATTTCTCTTAGGCTGATTGAAGAATAGATGAGCTGAGAGGCTTAGTTGTGCTGGTTGTAAGGTCCGCTAGTAGAGCATTGCAGTAGTCCAGTCTTGAAATTACAAGCTTTTGGACAAGTCGCTATGTTGCATATTCTGACAGGAAGGGTCAGATTTTCCTGATGTTATTGAGCGCAAATCTGCTTGAGATGTGGGTGGAAAAGCTCAGGTCGTCAAGCACTTCC